ACGCCTCCTAGCACGAGTTATGGGACTCCGATCGGCCTCCATTCAGGTGATATATCCAAGCCCACTACATTACAGAGCAATGCAATGTTTGAAAGCACGCTACTTTTGTTCCGGACTGTCTTACGATCAAGTTTGAACGTTGGTGGCTCCTCCACATGCAGGCCTGGAACAGGAAAGCCATATTTGGTCCCACACCGGATTTTGTGCTGGGATCCAATGCCAGCTTCTTGGGCTGGGAGCTCATTGTGCAGGATCTTCTATAGGTGGTTTGTAAAATATTGCATATTTTATGTTTCTATTGATTATGTATGGATGTCTGGATTTACATAAGTAACGGATGGTATCAATAAGTCACATGGCTTTCTTTGTCTAAGAACTCTGGAATGTGGGTTGGGGGGTCTTGTCCTTATATGGCTAGGATTATACTCTGATGTCATCATGGTCAAATCTATATAGAATAGGGGACAAAAGACCACGTCATTATGGTCAAATCTATATAGAATAGGGCAGTGTTTCCCAACCCAGTCCTCAAGGCACACCTACCATTATGGTCAAATCTATATAGAATAGGGCAGTGTTTCCCAACCCAGTCCTCAAGGCACACCTACCAGTCCAGGATTTAGGGATTACCCAGTTGTGTCTAAGGTGTTTTATTTTCTTCTTTGTAAAAACACCCTAAATCCTGGACTGGTAGGTGTGACTTGAGGACTGGGTTGGGAAACACTGGAATAGGGGACAAAAGACCACGAGGTCTTGCTGTTGCTTGCTGCTTGCTGCACGAGGTTGTTCTTCTTGTCCAGCTGTCTAACTATGTAGAGAGTAACTGTCATGCGGTATCTCTTCCGGGTTCGGCATTCCCGCTATGCGGAGCCGCCCCCGCCCCCTTCTGACGCGGCTCTCTGACAGTACTTAGAGAGACCGCGCCAGAGAGAAAGCGCTTGGTTATTGTGGGACCTACTTCCGGGTATAGACGCCGGCTCCACAAGCTTCTCTCTCAAGCCTTCCTAAACCTTTGAAGATAAAAGGATTATGCTTCATCAGCTAGAGGATTACTGGAGAATGGACACTTTACCATTTAACAAGTGGACTCTAATACTGATATCTTGGAGGACAACTCACATTAATCTTAAGTATAACTTCCAATTTATTATCTGGAATCTCAGTTATTAATGAATTGTTTCTTGCTTGCTGAAATCTTCTCTGCTACATACACATTAATTATATTGAGGATAACTCCCATCAAGCTTAACCACTATGAACTGTTTCTTGCTTGCTGAAATCTTCTCTGCTACATACACATTAATTATATTGAGGATTATTCCTATCAACCTAAAGAATATTATTCAATACATCTCTAAGGAAATACTTATTGATGAACTTTGTATTGTTTGCTATAACCAGCAATTTCTTCTTATTGAATTATTACCTATATGCTTTTCACTTAAGTAATCATTAAAACTTCGTTTGATTCTTTAATTGCCAGCAATCCTCTCTTTTCTTAAAGCTACAGTATTGATAATTTAAAGATTCTCCGTTTATTCACTATTGTAATTAAGGAGTTCTACAAGCTGCAGTTGAGTTCCAATTCTAAAAACCCTAGTTGTTTTATAATGTATCAGTAACTGTAAGAATAAACCTGAAGAAACCATAAGTCAGATTGCGTATTAGTATTTTTGGTTAATATAAACATATATTAACATGGTGAGCCTTTTACCCAAAAAGAAATATATATAAACGTATTATTCCAATCAACCTAGAAAAACACACAAAAGCAACAAGATTTTACATTTGACGAGCCAGCCAGTCTTCTATTCAAGTTTTGTTCCCACTTCCGGGGTGGGGGGGATGGAGAAAAGATAAGAATCAAGTTGCAAAGCTGAGTATTGTAACTGGGAAATCAAACTTGAAGAGAAAAAAAAATAAAGGAATCTAAACTGTCATGGAGACTATGCATTTTTGCACAGAAAAAGAACTGTGTGAACAATTGTGTGTAAGAAAGTAAGAAAAAGAAAGTTTTCTGTAAGAAAAAGAAAGTTTGCAAACCAGAAAGACTGTACAAGATTTTCTGCAACTGAGAAAAAAAGCACAAGCTACAACGTGAATTCTGCAAGCAAGCACGTGGAGGAATTGCCAAGTTTCCAGATCCAAGTCCAGAACTGCGCAGCTGTGTGGGTGAAGCAATGAAATAGACAGAAATAACTGATCTGGTGAGTAACATGGAATTCATAAATGATATTGCAGAGAAAAGTAAATTGCAGTTTGCAGTTAATACCAGCTATGTTATGGCAATGTGAATTGAAAATAGTGAAATTGACAAGAAATTTTGGGTGTTAATAAGAAAAAACTAAAGATCAGAATTGTTATGAATCTTGTCTGTACTTACAATGCATTGATTTGTAAACGAGATGCAGGTCAAGAAAATTTAGAATCGGCAGATAAAGAAGTAGATTTGAATGAATCAGATTTAAATGAAAAGTGTAACAATGTAACAGAGAGCACATGCTGTAACTGTGAGAGATTGTCAGAAACAGTCTGTGAACCGCAGGATAGAGTTGAACTAAGAAATGATCTTATTTGCCAGCTTGGAAATGAAGTAAAGCAAGTGTGTGTGAACACAAGATAAGTGCAGGCAAACCATTACATCCCAGAACCAATTGATACTGAAAATGTATCCTTACAGAGTGATTTGCAGAAATGTAAATTTCAAGACAAAGCTGCAAAATGTAAAAATCCATGAACAATTAATGAAAATTTTGAAATGTATATCAGTTTCTGACATGTCAGTAGATGCATTTACTAATGCTGAAATGTTTGAGTCAAATTTGGACAAATATAACCTAAATGACAAATAAAGGTATAGAGTTTTTAAAATATGGCTGCCGATTCAAATGGCATGTAGACTGATCGAGCCCGTAAGATTTGAGGGCAATGATGAAATAATATATGAGAATCGACAAGACAGAGTAACACAATTAATAAAATTAACATAGAATCATTTTGCAGACACTGAAATGTTGGAAAAACTAAAACCACACAATGATGAGGATATTTTTACCTTTCTTGTAAAATTTTAAAGTGCATATAGACTTGTTGCTAATTTTCCTGAAGATCAGTTAATGAATTTGTGAAAACAATTGAAGGTCTAGATCCAACTGCAATTGCTAAAGAAAAAAAGAACTTTGGGAGAAGCCGCTTTGTTCTTAGATAAATTAAGGTGGGAGTCTAGAAATGAAGGTGTTAAAATGGCTTGTGAAATTAGGAAGAGAAAGAAGCCCAGATTTAACACTCCTCCTCCTCCTCCTTGGACACAGTGTGAAAAAGTGATACAGACAGATGAACCCTGTCCTAGTTTTCTCTATTATAAACTGCAGAGTTAACAATCAAAGGCAGAATACAACTCCTAAAGTTATTTGTTTTTGGTGCAATAAAAAACATTATTTAAGGTCTTGCAGATATTTTATCCTAGATATCAAATCAAAAGCAAAACAGAAATTGAATTTGTTGATTGAAAGTTTTGATAGAGGAAATACATGTAGTGATAATTTAATAAAGGCATTTCCTTGTAAATGGATAATCAGACAAATAAGGACAATTTTAGCTAAATCAAAATTAGGAATCAAACAAGCAATGCAGTGTAACACACAAAGTTATACGATTTAGAGAACTTCACAAGACACCAACAGTTTAGAGAATGAGCATGGATATGTGCGCCAATATATGTGCACAGGTTGATTCCAGAGTTAGGAACAAGCAATGTATGTTATATTGGGTGTGAGCAAATATAGAGTAATACCAATAATTTTACAGAAATAAAAACAATGGATATATTCCTTGTTACTTCTGGGGTTAATTTAACATCTTTTATTTAATTCATGAGAATGAGAGTTTAATATCATGACTGATAATTGATTACTACATTTAGCAAAGCCTGGACATACATATGTTTTGACTATATCGAAGACAAAAGTTTTGATAGGATAAAGCCAAGAATTGCAAATACATTTGATGTAGGAAACAATATATGTCTTTTTTTTTGTTTGTGTCATGTGACAAAATGGTGCCAGTGTTAAGACAAGATGGTTAGTAAAAGGTTTGGAAAATTAAAATGTTCAGAAAGATATTCTGATATAAAGGAAGTTTGACTCACAAATGCAGTGACCACTAGATGGTAGATGTCATTAGAAGAAATAAGAATGTTTTGGAGTCCATGGAATTCAATGTTAAATTGTATGATAATAAGATTGAGTTGTAAATTATGTAAGCCGTTGTATTGATGCTGCACATGTTTTTTGTTTTAATGTAGGTAAAGCGTGACAGATGCTTGTGACAATAAATAAGGAAAGCATTACTTCAGACAACTGGACATTGGCTGTTGGAAAGAGACTTTTTATCTGACCTGCAAACTGTGAAGGAAGCTTCAGATTTAATTTTATACAGAAGATTAACAGACTTAAAAAGAAATAAATGATTAACACTAACATACATATATATTTCTAAATATTAACAAAGAAGAAAACAGCTAATGAAAAGTTATTTATTAGTTATGATTATACTGATACCAAAAGAGAGTACTCATAAATGTGTAACGCATGGAGTAAAATTACGAAACAATAGTATTATAAAAAGAACTATTACATTGTGACCTATACATATGTTGAGAAGTATCAGAGGTAGATAAAACATGAAGTTGTTTAAATGAGGTTCATGTATACTTAAGACTACAAAGAGTGATTTGTTTATATCGAGGTGAAGTAAAACAAACAATGTTAACAAAAGGAAGAAAACTAAGGAAGGATAATTTATATTGATTAATATTAAGTAATGGTATACATTAAGAATGCCTTGGATATAAGAGTTTAGAGATCCAAGAGGAATTGAACAGAATAGAATAAGAGTAAAGTACACAATTATATTTGACCTAAGTCTATAAATGTATGGACTAGGGAGAATAGGTTTCTGGAAATGACGATATCTAATGAATAAGTTATTTGTTATGATTACCCTGAGTTTGTTAGACACAGACTAGGAATAAGAGTTTCTGTGCAGTATGACCCAATGTTTATTTTAGTTTAGTTTACTTAGCTGAAGAAGTGTACTAAGGAATACGGATTGGTCAGAACAAATGTTTAGGTAACATTTGGACAATCCTACTTTTATGTTAAGATGTATTACATTAATAAGTCATCACAATGCTAATGAAGAGAGGGATGATAATGAATTTAAATTATTCTTTTAGTTCTTTTAAAGTAAACCATCCTACTATTCAATAAAAAGTTTGTTACGATAAGGTGGAATTTTAATAGGAATGATAATGATATAAACAAAAACAAATAGATTTGATCGAAAGATTTCTGGGCAGAGAATTTCTAAAACAATAAGTATTGTCAACAACATGAACATTATTTGAAGAATTATTTGAGAACTTCATGGTTGATAATAATACAACCTTTGAATTTTTCCAAAATAGTATGAGTCTTAGAAGTGTATTAGAATATTTCAGGAAGAGTCTAGTAAATATACAAATTGAATACTATGATTGTAAAGTACTAATGCAATTGTAACTAGGTGGTATTAATGGTGTAGGAATGTAATTCACGAATACAAATGATCTAAAGAGTTTAAGTTCACTAGAAAACATATGATTCATGGTAATATAAGTGGATGCGATATAAAAGTAATATACAGTTGCAAGAAAAAGTATGTGAACCCTTTGGAATGATATGGATTTCTGCACAAATTGGTCATAAAATGTGATCTGATCATCATCTAAGTCACAACAATAGACAATCACAGTCTGCTTAAACTAATAACACACAAAGAATGAAATGTTGCCATGTTTTTATTGAACACACCATGTAAACATTCACAGTGCAGGTGGAAAAAGTATGTGAACCCTTGGATTTAATAATGGTTGAACCTCATTTGGCAGCAATAACTTCAACCAAATGTTTCCTGTAGTTACAGATCAGACGTGCACAACGATCAGGAGTAATTCTTGACCATTCCTCTTTACATAACTGTTTCAGTTCAGCAATATTCTTGGGATGTCTGGTGTGAATTGCTTTCTTGAGGTCATGCCACAGCATCTCAATCGGGTTGAGGTCAGGACTCTGACTGGGCCACTTCAGAAGGCGAATTTTCTTCTGTTTAAGCCATTCTGTTGTTGATTTACTTCTATGCTTTGGGTCATTGTCCTGTTGCAACACCCATCTTCTGTTCAGCTTCAGCTGGTAGACAGATGGCCTTAAGTTCTCCTGCAAAATGTCTTGATAAAATAAATTTTTCCTTCGATGATAGCAATCCGTCGAGGCCCTGACGCAGCAAAGCAGCCCTAAACGATGATGCCCCCACCACCATACTTCACAGTTGGGATGAGGTTTTGATGTTGGTGTGCTGTGCCTTTTTTTTGCCACACATAGTGTTGTGTGTTTCTTCTAAACAACTCAACTTTGGTTTCATCTGTCCACAGAATATTTTGCCAGTACTGCTGTGGAACATCCAGGTGCTCTTGTGCAAACTGTAAAAGTGCAGCAATGTTTTGTTTGGACAGCAGTGGCTTCCTCTGTGGTATCCTCCCATGAAATCCATTCTTGTTTAGTGTTTTACGTACAGTTACTTTTGTAAGTGTTTAGCTGACACTCTAGGATTATTCTTCACCTCATTGAGCAGTCTGCGCTGTGCTCTTGCAGTCATCTTTACAGGACGGTCACTCCTGTAAAAGAGAGAAGCAGCAGTGCTGAACTTTCTCCATTTATAGATACTTTGTCTTACCCTGGACTGATGAACAGCAATGAACAGCAACACTTTTATAACCCTTTCCAGCTTTATGCAAGTCAACAATTCTTAATCGTAGGTCTTCTGAGAGCTCTTTTGTGTGAGGCATCATTCACATCGGGCAATGCTTCTTGTGAAAAGCAAACCCAGAACTGGTGTGTGTTTTTTATAGGGCAGGGCAGCTGTAACCAAAACCTCCAATCTCATCTCATTGATTGGACTCCAGTTGGCTGACATCTCACTCCAATTATCTCTTGGAGATGTCATTAGTCTAGGGGTTCACATACTTTTTCCACCTGCACTGTGAATGTTTACATGTGTGTTATCAGTTTAAGCAGACTGTGATTGTCTATTGTTGTATCTTAGATGATGATCAGATCACATTTTATGATCAATTTGTGCAGAAATCCATATCATTCCAAAGGGTTCACATACTTTTTCTTGCAACTGTATGTATTGGTACTTAAGTAATGTCAATTCTTGAGATTGAAAATACTTTGTTATATGTGTCTGTATTAGGAATATGATAATGATACCGTTATTATTTAGAAAGTTACAAGATCTTGATTTTGTTATCTACAAAGTCATGAATGTACCAGAGCAGGTAGATCTTTCTCATTGCTTTACATTGTTAATTGGATCAACATTTGTAAATATTTTATTTTATTCATTTATTATTGTTATAGGTATATATTTTTTTCAAATACTTATGATGTAAAATCGATATAAATTTCAATACAGAGCAGAATCAGAGGGAGTTTGAAGTAAAGTAAGCAGTATGATGGGTAGAAACTCAACCTTCTATGACAAGTTGTGACTACATCTTGTTTTATACTCAATGATTGTGATATGAATGTGATACAAGTGATGTATGAATGGACAGGTTAGTGACAATGTGTTATAATTTTAATACAAACCATAAACAGAGGGAATGTAGAATATTGCATATTCCATGTTTCTATTGATTATATATGGATGTCTGGATTGACATAAGTAACAGATGGTATCAATGTCATAAGGCTTTCTTTGTTTGAGAACTCTGGAATGTGGATTGGGGGGGGGTCTTGTCCTTATATGGCTAGGATTATACGCTGATGTAATTATGGTAATATCTATATAGAATAGGGGACAAAGGACCACAAGGTCTTGCTGGTGCTTGCAGCTTACTGCACAAGGTTGTTCTTCTTGTCCGGCTGTCTAACTCCCTTCAGGAGTTCAGCAATTACCATCTGCTGTTGAAAATTTATCCTGTAGCATCCTTTGTTGTTTTATTACATATCAATAAATATGGCAAGCCTTTTACCCAAGCAGAAATATATATATATATATATAAAAGGATTAATCCAATCAACCTTGAAAAACACACAGAAGAAGCGAAGATTTTACACGGTCCCTGGATAGAAGAGGAGATGGACTTGCACATCAACTGCCTGGAGCTTATAGCAGGCTCCTTTTCCATACGCAGTATTGCCAGGCACATGTCCAACTGCTGCATACTGCTACGCATGAACAACATTTCTGTGGTCCAATATATAAATCACATGGGAGGAGCTCGCTCCCTGGCCCTACCAGAGTCAACCAAGGACATCTACAGCTTCTGCCTCTCCCACAATATCACGCTAAGAGCGGAATACCTTCTGGGAATATCCAACCTCACAGCGGATGGTACTTCCAACATTAGAGGGATGGCAGGGACTGGCGCCTCAACGAAACGATATTCAACACACTCTTCGAGCACAGGGGTCCACTGATTATAGACCTCTTTGCATCTCAGACCAACCGACAACTTCAAAGGTTCTTCAGTTGGCTGCCAGATCTGGAATGCGAGGCGGTGGACGCTTCTCCAGAACTGGCCATATCAGCGAGCTTATGTCTTTCCCACCTTCTCCATGCTGGAATGTGTGATCCACCAGGTACAGACTCAAGGAATCTCTTTGCTCTTACCGACGCTCCTATGGCAGAGCCAACCATGGTTACCGGATCTTCTGGAATTGTCTTGCGACCATCCAGTCCTCATACCATCCTTTCCACTTTTGCTGATCGACCCACAGGGGGAACCTCACCCCCTCATCCTACAAGAACCTCTGGAACTAGTGGCCTGGAAGATTTCAGGAGATCTTGGTCAGCAGATGGATTATCACAGGTCACCAAGGATCTACTCTGGGATTCAAGGGCACCTGGCACCAGACGCTGTTATCTCGAAGCCTGGAACAAATGGTCTAGCTGGTGTTTGGAGAGGGATTCCGATCCCTACACAGTACCTGTTCCTAAATTACAAATGTAGCAGAGATCTCTTGTATAGTGTAGAGAGCAGAGTAGTGGCTACAATCGAATAAATGTTGAAAGTATTTACAGGTTAGTCCCTGTTCTAGCTATAATAACCAGCCATCTCAGAGAAAACTGTCTTAAAAAACTGCTGCTTCAAATCAGCTCTTAACCTAGATAGGATAGTACCTGTTTAGTTAATAGTTAGGTTCCCCAAGTGAATATCCCATGTTTTTCAAAGAGGGACTGGAATAGAAAGGCATCTAGCAGTGCTCCTAACCTAAAAGAACCCATAGTAGTGGGATCTAGCCACTTTTTTTTTTTGTTGGGGGGGTTACGCCTGCCGGTCTAGAAATTTATCTGGAGTCCTACAACTACAGCTGTATTCAGGGCTCCTGACAAACCAGGTATATATATATATATATATATATATATATATATATATATATATATATATATATATACACACACACACACACACACACAAAAAAAAAAAAAAGAACTAAGTTATCTCCTTCCACAATATATTTTCTTGATCTACATTTGTAGCGGCTTAATAGTATCCCTGCACACTACCGAGCAAGCTCCATTAACGGCTTGCAGCACAACAACGCACTAGCTTATTGCACTGTGAACCATTGGGATATTATAATCGGGGGAATAATTTACTGATACACCTTGCACATCCATCGTTAGCTTCCCGATTGATTTATAATTCAATCTGGGGTCTGCTGCTTTGCATTTCCCAAAATATTCCCACACTTTGCCACTAATAACTGCATTCACTCTCCTATCTATAAGGTGTATGTATATATATATATATATGTATATATATTCAAGTCCATATATTGAATCAGAGATACCCATACTCCATGTTATCTGTAACTCTACTTGTTGGGTGTTCTCTACTTCATATATACTCATAAACTGTATCTACATTCTACCCTTTGATAGTATCCACGCTTTATTAATTTCAGACCTAGACCGGCATTTTGTTGCACTATACCAGATCTATTTCCGTCTGTATTTTCACCTAAGTGGAGAGTTAACTTTCTGGATACCATTGATTTAAGCTCCAGCAGCTGGTCCTATTTTAAGAGTTCGTTTTTGTTTTTCTTTTTTTTGCACTTTATACTCACATTGTTTATTTATGTTTTTCCCTACTTACCCAATGAGGGATTTAATAAAATTATTTAATAGTTATTTTTTTGCTCTTTAATCAGTAAGGAACTTTTCGCCTATTACTGGTAGAGCAGCCCACATTAGGGTATTAGGACTGGTATTGGGCGTGCTTTTTAGTTAACCCATTCCAGTCTTCTTTTCTATTTTAATTTTGGATTATGCCCTATGTACCCTACAACCACTACAACTTTGGTGAAACCTGTTTTCTCTCACTATCATTGTATTTTTCCAGTACCTGTTCCTATGACCTTAAATTTCTTATCACATCCCTTTTCCTTAGGATGTGCATATGGATTCATCAATGTCACGCGATTTCAGCTGTACCGGTTCAGGATCTTCCAGTGGATAAAGATCCTTTGATCTGTATACTACTGATAGGTATCCGCTTGTCACATCTACCATCACCGCAATACTCCGACTCTGTGATAAAGAGGGGGTCATGCAGTTTTTGCGGGACTGGCCAGACAATATATCTTTGTCCTTACGCTAACTCTCGGTGAAACTCACACTGTTACTCGGTCTGGTATCATTCCGTTGAGTAGCAGATGTTAGGGCGTGATGTTGACATAGGTTTATCCTTTACCCCAGAAGGGCCTTCATTTTCGGTTACAAGACATATTCAACAACTTTTGTTTACCCATTTTTTCCTACGGCCCCACACCTTCGTGTGGTCAAGACGTTAATGCACTACATAGAAATTACTGAACCTTTACGAGGTTCCCAATCAGGTCAACTTCTCATGTCTTATGCCAAACCACATAAACCAGTGTACGCTGGATACTATCCTCGGCAGGCGTCTTTTGGAGCCCATTCCGTACGGGGCGCGGGGGCTTCACACGCTTCTGCATCGGGTGCCTCTCACCGACATCATGCTCTCAGTGGATTGGTCTCGGGGGGATACTTTTCGAGTCTTCTACTGTCGTCCTTCTCGCTTCTTGATTAGCATTAAAAATGCAAATATGAAACCACCTGTCATGTGGTAAAATTTTAGATTATGCTATCATAGTGTACCTATAATCTTAATTTTAGTAATGACAGGAGGCAAGTATTTCCCTCCCTTATTTCTCCCCCACCTTTTAGATTTCCCTCATATTTGTTACTCTTTTTATATGATAGGGTAGTTCTTATGTATTTGGATAAGTATTATCCGGTGTTTATGAATAAACTTTAGAATTTAACTGACTGCTTGGTTTGTACTTCGATATATTTATCTATTTATGTTGATAAGAGTCAAATTTATTAATACATGTTCTCAGTATATATGTTACATGAAATTCACTACAAGTTCCTTTCACTTGTTTCTTCTTCTTTTCAGTATGAAATACTAAATACACGTTGCAACGGCCAAAGAAAGTTATTTTCCGGTCTTTGGTAGATGTTTACCAAGTGCATCAGTTCTTCGTTCTTGTTACATTGACTATCTCCGTTCACTTCAAAGAAAGAGGAGGAGTTGGGGCTGTCCTAACATATATGTGATGTTCCTTATTTTTGATTGGTTTAAACTTACTTGATCTGTGGTGCTGGAGTTTTATAGTAAAGAAATTTATGAAAATACTCACCTCCTGTCATTACTAAAATTAAGATTATAGGTACACTACGTTAGCATAATCTACAATTGTATTCTAGCAGCTAATCAAGTTTATTGTACCATAAACAATGCACAGTGCAGTGTCTGAAACCAACGTTAAGCTTGTTGGAAATAAAAAATAAAATGAAATCTACTATATACCTGCAGTTATTCACTAAATTTTTATCATAATTTTGTTTGTTATATATACACTTATCGCTGGAAGGTGTGCATGCCAAATGAGGATGTTGTAGTGAGCTAACTTGAAAATTTAAGAATGTAGGCCAAATAATACAGCCATACAGATTATTCAACTGAAAACAAAGAACCGGTTAAAAATCTTTTGTAAACACAATAAATAGTACACGTTCAAAACGCCTTCAAATAATTGTAATTTAAACCACTAAAAAGCATTATACAGGACAAAGAAATACAGCTGCACATTTCGTAACAGGGTGAATCTGCCAATTGGCACGTACAAAACCACTGAAGATTAGACATGGATATTTATTAAAAAGTGCTTAAGACTTAATGTGCATATCTCTTTAAAGCTAGTTGTGCTCCTCACACATTGTTTATAACATAACAAAAATGATTAAAGATTGTGTCAGACATTCAAAATAGTTATTTGAAATCCTTTTATGTCAACATGAAGTTGGAGATTTGTAATTCTTATTAGGAAACTGAAACCCCATTTGGGGTATAAATGTTTCACAAGTCATTTGCCATTACGAGTATGTGTATTATTTTTTGTAAACTGCTATGTCACTCACCAGTATTAAAGTTAAAAAATAAAAATAATGAAAGAGGACATTATTTTTAACTCTGTGTGCATGTATATACACAAACACATGTATACACAAAGCATACAATACATTTTATCAATTTAAAAAAGAAAAAGGGATGTCCATATCATTCACATATATGAAGTTTAACCATATTCCGTAATTTACACATGCAGGGACCATCATATCTTCAAAGAATGTCTGTCTGCTTGCCTTGTGTGATAATGCATGAATTAGTAAAAATCTGCAAGTTACACTATTTGTAAATCTACCGCTTGCAGGGTTATTATACACAAAAGTGAGAATTGCCAAAAATTCAAAGTCAATTTCAAATTTAAGGCCAAAGTGGGTTAAGCTGAAAGCATAGCTTTGAATTACTTGAAATTCCTAGCAATTATTTACTTTAGTAAACAACCCTGTTAGTGTTCAGGGCAAAAGGACTTGAGTGCAGGTCAACACAGCGGTTAGACCTATAAATTCACATATTTGTCTCTGTACCATATTGCCACCCAAGTATTAGATTACTGTGCAGACTAACTCACCAACACGTGAATAGTTGGGAGTTCAAAGTGGATTTAAAATGTTAGGCCATCATTAGTTAAATTGAAAACAGGTTGTTTGGAAATATTTTTACAATTTGGTTATTGAGGCTTAGACATTAAAATGAATACCTCTGGTAGTTTTCAGATATACTGACCAAATGTACCTTTAGAAACTGGCAAGTACAAGGAAGGGCACGAGAGAATCATTAACAAATATAATGAGTAACACAATAATGCAGTCAAATCAACAGAAAATCTATATGGCTTAGTTGCAATTTAAACAAAGCATATCCCTATGTTAATAGAAAAAAAGAAAATACAAAAAACATTAAAGATGTAAAACCACCAAAGATACTACATACATAGGAACATATATAAAAATAAAATCCACACCAATACAAAAATAAAATTAATCAAGGCTTCAGTTGCGAAAAGCAGCACTTGATTGCCGAGATGTTCGCATAGTTGGGAAAGATTAGGTTTGAGCACAGGTCTCATTGCTCTACCTGTTAACGATTACCGAATAAAAAGATGTTCTATTAGTATCTTTGGTATTTTTACATTTTAAATTTGTATTAGAATAGAATAACAACCATGGAGCTACGTAGCCTGTATAATTATTTATGTAGCGTTATGTTTTTACATTTCCCTTTTTTATTGTTAGATTTGTGTGTTAATTGTGCCTACAGTAAGGCTTTAAATAATTAATTGTCCGTAAGGCACTGATAATTTGGAGCAAGAATGAAATTAATTATTTGGAGGAAAAATATACAGCTGTTGTAGTTTCCTGTCATGTGCTGGGATAACTGATCGAAACATTTTATACAAATATACTATATCAGGCTCTGCCAAATGTAAAAAGTGCAATATTAGGACGTCAGTTTAACCTACAAAAAAAATGACAAGTTTCTCATAAATTGTCATCATGCATACATGTGATAGAAGTCACCCTTTGTTTTTCTTGCAGACTTATTAATAAAAGAATGTTTAACCATAAACTCCCTTGAAAACAAAAGGAATAGTATAGCCAACATCGTCCTAAAAGAGCATTTTGTAACATTTAAAAATAATATATTTTCCAACACTCTGACATTACTAAGCACATTCGTAATTACTTTGTTGCACAGAAGGAAGGTTTTCTTTGCTGTAATAAAATTTCAAGAAATCTGCCAGTAAAACATTTTGATTTTAAAGTTTGTTTGGGCAGGGTCCTCTTGACCTACTGATCCAGTACGCCAATCATGTTTTGTTAGAATTTAGGATCGATTTTGTTTACCTGTTGTACAGCACTGTGGAATATGCTGGCGCTTTATAGAATACCAAAAAAAAAAAAAATCTAATTGTATATAACAGATAGAATAAATATCTTTTCAGTTTACATCACTGTTGGTGTGAGATGTGCTCTCACATAGTGCCTTGGTAATGTTTGAAGGGCACTTGAGCACTTCAGACATCAACACAGCCTTTATGCATTTTATAGTTTTTGTTCTAAATAATAAATTTGCATGTTAAATTTTATTTAGTTTACATAGCAAATGTTACAATAAGCTCTTGCAAGTATATTAGCGGACGTTTTCCCATAAAATACATTATTCAAAAAGGATTAAAAAAAAAATTAGTCAATTCAAATTTTCAAAAAAGTGTATGAGTCATCCAGAAAATGGTTCATATGTTAATGGAGATAAAAACAAAACAAAACAAAAAAAAAATACTTTTTTAGAAGTTCCATGGCAGCTTGGTTACAGTCAGATCCTAAAAGTCACCACAATGTCAACACAACACAATGAGGGAGATTTATCAAAGTGTTTTGTTTTTTTAAAGAAGTGGTCTAAATGTAGGTTCGTCACCAACAAGCAGGCACGTTACATTGTTAACTCTTCCATTGCACCATGTTTTAGAATAGAAAATTCTACAAAACCTCAATTAAAAATATTCGAGGTCAGGAGCATCATGAGAAAGATGTTCTAGGCATAAGAGACGGGAAATGCCTGTACAGTTGTGTTATAAATAGCCATGTGAACAAACATAAAACAATTAATAGGGCATTGACATAAGAATGGTTTCATGCTCTGTGGCATGCTACAAGTATCATTTAGAAGACAGACTGGCTTTAATATATGCAAACATGGACACCATGTTCTGAAAAGTATGCTGTAAAACGTAACAAACAATGCAGGGATCGACCGATATTGATTTTTTAGAGCCGATACCAATACCGATAATATGTAAACTTTCAGGCCGATAGCCGATAACTTGCCAATATTCTGTGCATTTACCATTTTGAAAAAATAAACTATTTCTAAAGGTAAATGCACAAAATATACATGCTACATGCAGTGTTTTTAGACAGGGGAGCTGTGTGTATTTGTGTAGTGTGTATATAATGAATGCAGGGTGTGTTTGTGTAGTGTGTATAGTTAATGCAGTGACTGTGTAGTGTGTATCGTTAATGCAGTGACTGTGTAGTGTGTATATAATGAATGCAGAGTGTGCGTAAAGTGAGAGCAGAGTGTGTGTATTTAATGCAGCGTGTGTAGTGTGTGTGTGTGTATAATGCAGCATGTGTAGTGTGTGCATATAATGCAGAGTGTGTAGTGTGTGCATTATATACACACACTACACACTCTGCATTATATACAGAGTGTGTGTGTGTTCCTGAAGGGATGCGATTTGTGTAAAATGGGGGGAGAAAGGCATTTTTTATTTTAGTTTTTAATGTTTATATATTAACATTTTTTGGCCCCCCTTCCTGCTTGTTACATGCCCAGGGAGGGGGGGCTATGACAGTCCCTGGTGGTCAGGTGGCATGGATGTGCAGTGGGGGCCGGCAGCAAGCGCTTACTTACCTTTCCAGCAGCTCCTGAAGCTCTCCTGTGTAAATCTCGCGAGATTTAGACAGGGTGCTGCAGGAGCTGCTGAAAAGGTAAGTAAGCGCTTGCTGCCGGCCTCCCCCAGGACCGCCGGGCTTGTAATGAGCCTGGCGGTCCTGTTATGCATTATCGGCAATATCGGTATCTTTATTGGCCGATACCGATATTGCATAAAATACTGAATATCGGCCGATAATATCGGTAAAACCGATAATCGGTCGATCCCTACAATAGATGCTGTTCAAATTGCTATGACCCGCGGTCTTCTCAGGGGAAATAATGAGCTGAAAGGCAGAGTACAGCACTGAAATGGTTGCAGAAATGCCACCCACTGCACTGTTCATTTTCTAATTGACAGTATCTAAATTGTGCCAGATTTTAGGACTGGATGAGAATGACCGTGGCTCTAGTCTAAACTGCAAACAGGTTTTATATGCAAATTGTCAAGCTTTTCACGGCTTGACAGATGCAATCACATCAGAACAGCCAAGTATACTCAGTGTTACAAAAGGTCATACGAGTAAGCTGGTAATGCCATATGATTGGGTTTGTGGAATGTTAATAATTGGGGAAATGTAGCATCAGCACTTTAGAGATGGTCTTAAAGTAGCTATTCGCAGTTCTGGTCCTTCTTTAAATAAAGAGACAAAAATGGAACAAAGTACATATTCTTTTAAATCTAATCACAGATGTCCTGGAAAACTGAATATACTTCTACAGATACGCAAGACTATACATATAATTTCCTTAGTACTGAAAAAATAAAAAATAAAAATGTGAAAGTTAATTTTTCTTTTTCTTTTCAGGTTTTGTTATTTGACAGGTTCTAAGGAAACTATGTAGAATGTTTATATCTCTGAATGAACCGTATGATTTAATGGACACAAAAATAAAGTATATTTTTATTTTATAGTCCCTTTAAAAGATTTTACATTCAAGTGGGCATTCTCTTGGTCACTTCTCAAACTATTCTAACCGAATTAGCTGACAAGCAGAAAGTAAAGATAGGGGCATTCACAGTTTAAACCAAATGTGTATTGCAGGAGAGCTTCTCACATGTTGCCATCCCTCCTGCACCAACCACTGAGCCATAACCCACTTATATGTCACCATCAGGAACTCATCAGAGAACCTCCAGTTCAGATCAAAGGTATGCATTAGAATGTGTACAACTTCAGTTCAGTGTACAACATATCCAATGGACATATTGATCACTGGATTTAAAAGCAAAAAATGGAAATAGTTGCAATCTTGAAAATGTAATCTAATTAGAAGTAATCCTAAATAATCCTCTTGGTTCATGGGCAACAGCTTTTTCAAAAGATAAAAAGGTAATCCATTTTCTATTGCACCCCATCCCTACCTATAGTTATTTACAACATCATGGCATTAAAACTTGTAGTTCTGTTTTTAAACATGTTTTACCAATACACTTTTACATATTTATTAAGACACATGACAATCCTTAAGCCTTTCAAGTGAATGAAGATTTTTAGTGAAAAAAAAAGAAAAATAATAACTTTTTGCTATTTCCAACCCCAAACTCTAAACTTGTTCCCATTGTTCTGTATCTAACTGCTGTAAACATCAGTTCCATTTTGATCACTTGGCTAATTTTACAAATAAAGTCGACAACTGTAAGGAATAGCCATTGCATTCGTTCTAAAACCTGTGGATCTGAAATACTTAACTACTGCCATTTAGGCATGTTAAAGTCAGTTTCAGACTTTCCTTTTATCTTGTACATTACTGCCAATATCACCACTTATCTCAACTATGTTGGTTAAACAAATTGTGTCTCACAAAATTAGCGTACCATATTCACCCAGCAGAGGGCAATGTTACACAACTTTTCTAGATCATCTTAGAAGAACAAAAAGGATTGCTTTGGCAAGCATTACGAATGCCAACAAATTATACAAGGTAATAAAAACAACAGATTACTGTACTTTACACATCATGGTATTTTGATAGAAAATGGGATACTTTAATAGAAGATTTCATTAAAAAAAAATAAAAAAAAAAATTGATGAACTAAGCAGATACAAGTGAAAAAGTCAAATGGAGATCTGTGAATCCATAAAGGGACCAACGATACATTTCCATGTTCTGTCCCCTCCGATAAGGGTTTAAACTTCAAATACATTAATAGGTCTTTTTAATACTGGGCACCTCTGTAAGTTCATATAAACACGTCGAGCAGTAAATACATATGTGGCAATAAGGCACTTCAGAGGCAGGAGATTTGATCTGGCTGTATGGTGAAGACCACCGAGGCACATTGTTTAAAGGCACATTTCAGTGCTTTATAGGTTCAATCATTGTGCAATAGCAAAGAAATAATCCTAGCTTCACGGCAACAGCAGGAAGTGGGTGAGAACAGGATCTAGTTTAAGACTTCTTTTGAGATCCGAATGATTCACAGTATAAGGCAACTCTAAGGCGTAAATATTTTGCATCCTGAGAAACTGTGGTCCCATATAGCTGGTGGAGCAATGGTGGAAACAATATAATGGTGTTTCACAAAAATGGTTTTAGGTCTCCTCATCCCACAGACACAGTTGTTTCTGTGTGACATAAAAATGGAAGCTGTAACTCTTTTGGCAGCTTCGAATGCCACACTTGTAGGTAGTGGTACGTCCAGAGGAGTCTCTGTTTTTGCAATATTTCAGGCTGCATGGAATCCACTCCAGGCTAAGTCGGTATGAACAAATGCATGGTTTCCATTCCCGAGAACAGACCTTGCATGTTGGCAGGGCTGGAAGAGAGGAAGACTGAGGAAGAACCTCAAACATAGATCCATCAATTCCTAGAAACAGAAAGTAGAAAATACACTTTGTTCATGTTTCAAATCTATTAGAAGGCATCAAACATATATCCATATTTGCATAACACTATAATTCAAAAGATTTTGTACTATTTTTATTGACAATTTGAAGAATGAAAGTCTGAGTGCATCAGTCGGGGATTTCAACAATGTCTACAGCAACCTATGGCCCACTGAGCAATTTTTTCCAGAAGAAAGCATTTTTTCCTAAATATTTCTGAACCATTCATTTTATTGTATTCCAGACATGAGTTTCCAATAATCTACACACTTTCATCAATTCAAGTACACTCTCTCCTGTGATATACTTATCAATCTTGTTTCCAGGGAGGCAATATAAAAGTAAAACAACATAAAAACAAACAAACATAACAGAGAAAACATGGTGATCACTCCGCTAAACTAAAGTGGTTATGGTGCTTGGAGTGTTCCTTTATTTATGAAACGTAATCAAGAGTTATCATGGAAATAGTCAGGGGAGAAAGGGCAAAATGGTGATAAATATTTATATACTAACAAACATTAAACATTTAAGCCATGCCAATTATATTTTACCAAAAACAGTATATTTTATACCCTTAAAATTAGATTATAACCCAGTTTTACATATATATACCATACTGTTTACAGTTTTTCTCTCCCTCTCAATTACTTTTCTTTTTTTAATGCAATAGCTGCCTCTTGTACACCTTCCTCATTCCTTAGAATCCATGCCTTTACTTCTCTTTTCCGCTTACTGCATAAGCAATTTTCTCTTTCTCAGTTCTTCTACATCAGACGCGGTCTACTTGCTGTAAAAGCGAACCTGTATTATAATTATTTTCTTAAACTCCCTTTTGAGGTCTACTTCCTAAAGCCCCTTGTACCTTACACCCCCTGGCCTTGTTAATTATAATTTCTTCTTTGTGCTGGATCTCAACATCTGTTCTCTTCTACCATGGTGTGCTTGTTTTCCTCCAAGTCATCGGCGCAGGCTCGCTGCCTAGGTGTTCTCTAACACTCCAACCTCTACATCCCTAATTCCTCATATCCAGTCGTTCGCTTCCATCTCAAAAACATTGCGCGCATCCAACCCTATCTAGTCTACCCATTATACATTGGAATTTGTTGGCGCTTTATAAATAATTAAAAATACACTGCTCAAAAAAATAAAGGGAACACAAAAATAACACATCCTTGATCTGAATTAATTAAATATTCTTCTGAAATACTTTGTTCTTTACATAGTTGAATGTGCTGACCACAAAATCACACAAAAATTAAAAAAATGGAAATCGAATTTTTCAACCTATGGAGGTCTGGATTTGGAGTCACACTCAAAATTAAAGTGGAAAAACACACTACAGGGTGATCCAACTTTGATGTAATGTCCTTAAAACAAATCAAAATGAGGCTCAGTAGTGTGTGTGGCCTCCACGTGCCTGTATGACCTCCCTACAACGCCTGTGCGTGGTCCTGATGAGGTGGCGGATGGTCTCCTGAGGGATATCCTCCTAGACCTGGACTTAAGCATCTGCCAACTCATGGACAATCTGTGGTGCAACGTGACGTTGGTGGATGGAGCGAGACATGATGTCCCAGATGTGCTCAATTGGATTCAGGTCTGGGGAACGGGCGGGCCAGTCCATAGCATCAATGCCTTCATCTTGCAGGAACTGCTGACACACTCCAGCCACATGAGGTCTGCTTTCATCTGTGAAGAGCACAGGGCGCCAGTGGCGAATTTGCCAATCTTGGTGTTCCTGCACGGTGTTGGGCTGTAAGCACAACCCCCACCTGTGGATGTCGGGCCCTCACACCACCCTCATGGAGTCTGTTTCTGACGGTTTGAGCAGACACATGCACATCTGTGGCCTGTTGGAGGTCGTTTTGCAGGGCTCTGGCAGTGCTCCTCCTTGCACAAAGGCAGAGGTAGCAGTCCTGCTGCTGGGTTGTTGCCCTCCTCCACATCTCCTGATGTACTGGCCTGTCTCCTGGTAGCACCTCCATGCTCTGGACACTACGCTGACAGACACAGCAAACCTTCTTGCCACAGCTCGCATTGATGTGCCATCCTGGATGAGCTGCACTACCTGAGCCACTTGTGTAGGTTGTAGACTCCGTCTCATGCTACCACTAGAGTGAAAGCACCGCCAGCATTCAAAAGTGACCAAAACATCAGCCAGGAAGCATAGGAACTGAGAAGTGGTCTGTGGTCACCACCTGCAGAACTACTCCTTTATTGGGGGTGTCTTGCTAATTGCCTATAATTTCCACCTGTTAGCTTTACCATTTGCACAACAGCATGTGAAATTGATTGTCACTCAGTGTTGCTTCCTAAGTGGACAGTTTGATTTCACAGAAGTGTAATTGACTTGGAGTTACATTGTGTTGTTTAAGTGTTCCCTTTATTTTTTTGAGCAGTGTATATATTTTATTATAATATATATTTATTAATCCTATTAGTTTCTACTTTTCTTTATGTATTTTATGAAAACTAAGGCACTCAGGAAACCAAAAGATTCAAGCACAGGGAGCTAAGTGAAAGCAGCTTAGATGTTTATTTGTGGTGACAAAGCCACTAAGTTCCTGATCTTTCCTCTACCTCATCACCACTTACCTTTCTCTAGCCATGCTCGTACATCATCTTGTCTTGTATAAATGGCCTCTTTTGCCTCTGCACAAATGTTATGAACATGGGGGCTTAGCTGGAGTGCTTTAGTAAAATTAACAGCCACGTCCATCTGCAAATTCTCAATTTTTCTCATCTCTTCAGCCTGACGTACTGTATGTGGGTTTTTCTATATAAAAAGGAGAAATAAATAAAACACCAGACTAAATTGTAAGGTAAATATATATGTTAATACATCATCCTATAAAAAGCAAATGATACATAGAGCCAGTGCTCTGGTAATAGCTTACTATATCCATCAGGAGCCGCATGTATGTAATTACATTCCAATTTACAGAGCAGGAGATAAAAACCTTTCAAGTAAGTAAGCATCTGATTGAAAGCAAAACCATTTTCTTTTCCATGCAGGCTGTATCAGTCACAACCAGCCAGGGGAGGTGTGGCCAGGGGAGGTGTGCTAGAAACAAAAGTGATTTAACTCCTAAATGACAGTGAATTGAGCAGTGAAACTTCAGAGGCACGATCTATACTAGACATGTGCAATTCGTTTCGTTCCGAATGTCAGAATAGCGGAATTGCCGAAGTCCCGAAATTGCCGAATTTCCGAAGTGCCAAAGTTCCGAAGTACAGTATTGCCAAAGTACTAATATACCTACCCAGTGGAAGAATGAAGAATGTTACACTGTATACAAGTGTAAATAAAAAGTATACAAACATAGCCAGGATTCAGCTGTAAGCATTTGCAACACTTACAACAATCAAGTAACATACATTCATATAAAATATAAGTTACTTAATAGCCAGTCAATGGAATGACAGGAATAAAAAAAGTAGATAACTGAGTGGCGAGTGGGGGCCCTAATTCTCACGGTATTATGGAGCGATCTGGTCTTTCAGCCAAATTTACTAATACTAAGTAAAGATTACTTAGTATTCTTAAATTCTGCCCATAATCGCTATACCGCAAGTAGCGCATGTCTAGTAAACAGTGAGCAGCATCTGGCTGCTCACTGTAAAAAAATAAAACAAACATCCCGAGCTCCCACCCGTGCCGCGCGAGTGGGGGCTTCTAACCTGAAGGGGGGGGGAACCTGTTGTCCTCTCCCCTCTGGCCCCCACCCCTGAACGGTGTGTGGGGACCCTAAAGTAAAATAAGGGGGGCGGACCTATTGTCCCCCCCCCAGCCCCCACCCCTGAGCGGTGGATGGGGGCCCTAAAATAAAATAAGGGAGGGGAGTGACACACCCATTGTCCTCCCCTCACTGGCCTCCACCCCAGTGGCGGGTGGGGGCACTAAATTAGAATAAAGGGGGAAAACCTATTGTCCTCCCCCCTCTGGCCTCCACCCGGAGTGGTGGTTGGGGCCCTAAATTAGAATAAGGGCCCCCACCCCTGAGTGGCGAGTGGGGGCCCTAAATACCAATAAAGAGGAAGGACCTATTGTCCTCCCCATGGCCCCCACCCCTGAGGGGTGGGTGGGGGGCCTAAATTAGAATAAGGGGGGGGACCTATAGTCCTCCCCCCTGGCCCCCATCCCTTTTTAAAAAAAATCAAAAAAAATCCATGTTTACCCATGGAGGGCATCGCGCAGACTGAGCTCTGCAGGGCGAGGGAAGGCTTTTTAAGCCTTGCCCCGTGCTGCAATTAGGCTCAGAGCACTCTGATTGGTGGGTTTAAGCCATCCAACCAGAGTGCTCTGACAGGTATGAAGAGACTGACAGGTAAGTCTCTACATTTACCTGTCACAGCACTCTGATTGGTTAGCTTGAAATCCAGTCAGAGTGCTCTGTGTCATTTTACACAGCGTGGGAAAGTTCTTTGTAATATTCCCACGCTGTGTAATTTGACTCATAACTCTCTGATTGGTTACTTTCAATCCACCAGGGTTAAATATAGTGCTTGCCAATTAAATTATCTGGACTGTCTGCCTGGGTTGTGTGTGTGTATATATTTATTATGAATAAATATAAGAAATATCTTTATTTATTTTAAAATGTGTGCGCATATATATTTATTACACACACACACACACACACACACACACCCTGAACCAAAATTATAAACATAACACTTGTTTTTGCCCCCATTTTTCATGAGCTGAACTCAAAGATCTAAGACTTTTTCTATGTACACAAAAGGCCGCGTTTACATTGCTGCCTAGTAAGACCTCTAGTGACAGTCACTGTGTCAGTGCTCTACATGGAGGCGCTGAATGTTACCCATAGAGAACATGCGTAATGTCCTCCCAATACTTTCCTATAGGAAAACATTGGCTTAGCTGAGACCATTAAGATCTCAGCTATGGAGGCAGGACAAGTGACTGCGAAACCAGTACGGCGTGGGGAAAAAAGGTAAGTAAAAAACACCAATCATGTGATCGTAGGAGGGCAGGTACCTAAACAGACACCCAATCTGTCATTGGTATCAATTTTCTTATAGGTTGGTTATTGTTTAAATTATGTTTTATGCAGTCCAATGATACACATTACATTAGTTAAGCATGTATTTTACTTTTTAGGTTGTTTGCCTTCAAAACGGTAGCTTTTACAAGCACGGAAAACCGTCGTCAATTTCGTTAAATCTACTCTCTGCAGTGTCGGGTAGGTTCCTTGTTTTTTAGAGCCCACGATCTGGCCATAACACTACGTTTAATCACACGTTCATATATCGAATCTCATATCCACACTCTGATAGACATAGACTCTCTCTAACATTCACACATTTATATTTTTAATTCTAATACACCAAGCCTCCCTACCTTTGGGAGAGCTGAGTGGACTTTCCCTGGGGTCCACTGGGGCCGATATCCTGGGTGCGAGGGAGCAGTAATCTTCTTGCAGCTCCTCTCTGCTCCCTCACACTGTCTGCAGTGATGCCAAATAACGTCATCTTCCAGCTCCCGGCATCATTAAAGAGCGTGAGAGTGCAGAGAGGAGCTGCAGGAAGACTGCTCCCTTGCGCGCTGCCCCAGCCTGCCGCCTCCATGCTCCCGCGGGCGGCCGGCTATACACAGCTTTCTGAGCAGGCAGGCAGCCGTCCGGCTGGCTCCATTGTTTGCCTAGCCAGCCACTTTAAGTAAAAGGCTGACAAATTCCACATGCCAGGACGCCTGGGATTTGTCAAGCCCTGCCATAACCCCACTGCCACCATGGGCCACTTGATCCACAACGTTGACGTCAGCAAACCGCTGACCCACACGCCGCCATACACGATGTCTACTATCTGCCCTGTACAGTAAAACAAACGGGATTCAGTCATGAAGAGAACACCTCTCCAAAGTGCCAGATTGCATCGAATGTGAGCATTTGCCACTCAAGTCGGTTACGACGACGAACTGCAGTCAGGTCGAGACCCTGATGAGGACGAGCATGCAGATGAGCTTCCCTGAGACGGTTTCTGACAGTTTGTGCAGAAATTCTTTGGTTATGCAAACCGATTGTTAGAGCAGCTGTCCTGGGCTGGTGTGATTACATGTGGTTTGCGGTTGTGAGGCCGGTTGGATGTACTGCCAAATTCTCTGAAATGCCTTTGGAGACTGATTATGGTAGAGAAATGAACATTCAATTCATGGGCAACAGCTATTGCATGCTCTCTCAAAACTTGCAACATCTGTGGCATTGTGCTGTGTGATAAAACTGCACATTTTAGAGTGGCAGATCTTTGAGTTCAGCTCATGAAAAATCGGGGCAAAAACAAAAAAGTGTGGTGTTTAGAATCATATATATTTATTTTATTTTTTTTGAAGGCTTGGCCTGGAGTTGTGGGAGGGGCTTGGTTCACCTTTAAAAGGGCTGCCAATCCACTCCCACCTTACCGTTGCTGGTCTGGCGAGTCTGAAACGTTAATCCGGTTCAGACTGCCATCTTGGATTTTCCTTACCTGTTCCATCGTGGTCTCCTGGTCCGGGCTCCCCTGGCTATCCTTACCGTCGCCGGTGTCCGCACAGCTCGCTTGGTGCTTCCTCTTCACAAAAAACGTAAGTCAGGCTCGCCATAAAGCAACCGCTGCAATTCCCCTGCTTTACACGGCGGTGCCCCGTTCGGTTCAAATCTATGTTCGATTCGTTTTATTATATCACTATGGCATTCGTCTTAATGCTTCACAAGTTCAAACTAACGAACGTTATCATTCGGTTAAATCATACTTAAACATCAATCGGTTGGTTTCGCAGGTAAATTATGGTGTATCTATTCAGTTGTTACTATACTCTACATAGTTCTTTGGGCAGCTACACTAACTCACGTATTAAACACGAATTCAGCCAGTACTCCAAGGGAATTCCGCCCCTACTGATTACAAATGTTATTGCAGTAAATCTATTTTTGAATAGGAATGTTGTTAAACGAGTTGATGGGTCATGATTTCCTGAATTTGTTTTTCCCCACAGAGTCATCCCAGTGGTTCGTACTGGGAATTGTGAAATCTGTCATTGGTATCAATTTTCTTATAGGTTGGTTATTGTTTAAATTATGTTTTATGCAGTCCAATGATACACATTACATTAGTTAAGCATGTATTTTACTTTTTAGGTTGTTTGCCTTCAAAACGGTAGCTTTTACAAGCACGGAAAACCGTCGTCAATTTCGTTAAATCTACTCTCTGCAGTGTCGGGTAGGTTCCTTGTTTTTTAGGGCCCACGATCTGGCCATAACACTACGTTTAATCACACGTTCATATATCGAATCTCATATCCAACAGGTAATCATCTCGAGACTCTTACAGTCCCTGGTTACTTCTACCTCGACAGCGCAACCTGACTCACATATCAGGTACTACGCCAGAACCCATTATTTTTTTTCTTTTCCCTCTACCATGTTCTGAGGGTTACTGGTCCTAAGTTATATGACCCAACTAGGTAAAAGTTTCTTAATCCATAGGCTAGTGGTCCCGCGAGACCAACACCCCTCTCCTCATACTCTGAGGAATACGCCCCTCGGGCCAAATCATAGCTAGCCGTCTCGCATTGTCGCATAGAGAGGGCCTCACCTGTCACTCCCAATCTATCTTATGCTTTAAATACCACCGAGAGGCCAACACCCTGCCACAACGTTCGGTGGCCTCATACGTTCCCCTCGGGCCCACGCATAGGTAGCGCCTCTCAGGCCGCTTGGCAATTAGTAGGGACTCATCTGTCACCATCCATAAGTATAATTGTTTCGCCGCTTTGCATTTAGCTAGCCTTACCAGTATCCACCCAAATAAAACATTACAGAGTGATTGATTAAAGCTTACTTATATTTTTCAGTTATGTCTAATAATCCTGATATCCCCGAGGAACTCTCGCTACCCTGCACTCCCGCTAGGCCTGGTACCCCTGTTCCTGCAACAGACGTTGCTAGTCCTGCTTCTCTCAGATCATGGACCATCCCACGTCTCACGGCAGAACTTAGAAGACGCAGCATCCCTTTCCCAGCTACTGCTAGGAAAGCTGAGTTGTTCAGACTTTTGAATACGGGCACTGACAACTCTGATGCAGGGGAAGGCCCTAGTGGCACACAATTGCCAACATTTCACGCCATGATGACCTCGCTCATGTCATCCATCAGCACAATTAATGACAGACTGGATAAATTGGAAACAAGTGGTACTAAACAGACAGCTACGAACCCAATTGCGGCCAGTCACCCTCTGGCTGTCATGACTGGTAATACTTTGGAATCAGGGTCTCTTAGCGAAGATATTAACCCCTCACACATGGTCCCATCTCAACTTAAAAAGGACATTCTGGAAGGCAAGGATGTCAACCTGGTGTCATTGCTTATAGCCTCCCAGGATGTCCTAGAGCAGTGATGGCGAACCTATGGCACGCGTGCCACAGGTGGCAAGCCAAGCCCCCTCTGTGGGCACGCGGCCATAGGTCGCCGGAGGGAGGGAAGGTGCGCTCCGCTGGTGCATCCATAAGGCAGGCGGGCGCAAAACCAGAGTGACCGGCAGGAGGTGAGCGCATAGCGCTCCCTCCTGCCAGGCACTCTGTGTAGCGTGGCCGAGCGCGCCGCGGTACAGGAACTTATGTTTCCTGTACCCGGGCGGCCAGAAATGAAGTGCTCACAGAGAGAGCACTTCCTGTCCGGCCGGGTACTGGAAACTGAGCTCCGCGGTGCACTCGGCCATGCCACGTAGGAAATCAAGGGGAGAAACTGAGGGAGAGATGGAGAAACTGAGGGAGAGATGGAGGAGGGAAACTGAGGGAGAGATGGAGGAGGGAAACTGAGGGAGAGATGGAGGAGGGAAACTGAGGGAGAGATGGAGGGGGGAACTGAGGGAGGTATGGGGGGAGAAAACTGAGTGTGGGATGGGAGAAAAAAAAATGAGGGAGGGATGGGGGGGAAAGAAAACAGTGGGGGGGGAGAGAGGGGATGACATACACACAGCACCCCTGCCCTACACATATCACCCCACACAAACATCACCCCACCCACAAACACATACACTGTACCCCTCAATGCAGTGTGTGTATTTAGCAGTCTGTGTGTGTACTCGGCAGTCTGTGTGTGTGTGTGTGTGTGTATTTAGCAGACTGTGTACTCAGCAATCTGTGTGTGTATTCAGCAGTCTGCTAAATACAGACAGACTGCTAAGTACACAGACAGACTGCTAAATACACATACAGACAGACTGCCGAGCACACACGCAAACAGCTTAATACACACACAGAGATGTTAATTAGTTCGGACAACTGTATGAGTTGTTTTTTCTAAACTTAAACCTCAGTATTCAGGTTTAATTGCCATTTTGACACTTTGAGGGGAAAAAAAATTGGCATGTATTACAGTTTGGGCACTCGGGCTCAAAAAGGTTCGCCATCACTGTCCTAGAGAATAGGACTTTTGCATATGGGGATATATCTGTCGTACTAAGGTCTAGAGACCCTAGACTAAATAAAAAACTGTCAATACCTGAATTTGTACTGGGTTTGGGGATTTATAGGGATGTATATTGCTCAGTATTCCCAGGGAAAAGAGCAGAGCTGGATGCATTCATGCACAAGATGGTGGACCTGGGCCACAAATACGGTGGTACCGCTTTTTTTTACGATTACCAGCGTTCCTTTTCTGCAAAGGTGGCTGCAGCTCTGGCTCAGCTCAATTTAAGCATTAATTGGAACAAATTGGACACTGAGCTATTCTGCAGGCATTTTGCAGGCCTCAGGCCTCCAGCATGTGTAGTATGCGCATCTACAGCACATCACACTAATCTCTGCCCTAACACAGCCGAGATTGAACAAAACCAATCTTCCCCTAACTTTCCTAAAGCTCTAAAGCTACCAAGGGATTAAAAGATAAGCTGGGGAGAGACATTGTATTCCTGGGTAAATCTTAGATATGCAATAATTTCAATGCGGGCAATTGTGGTTTTAGTTCATGTAGACTGATGCATGTGTGTTCACACTGTTTTAGAGCCCATGCCAAAACCATGTACCCAAATAAAGCATTCCCAAAACCGTATCACACGTGTGTGAACGTCACTTTATTGACATCACTTTTACAGCCACATCCTTCACGGCATTTCACTGAATATATTATTTTGGGCATGACCGAGGGTTTTCACACCAGGTTGGTCCACTTACCCTCCGGTACACTGGAATGAGACAACCTACAATCCACATTAGACGATCCACAGTTGGTAAATACACTTATCTCAACTGAGCTGGAACAAGGGTTTCTGTTGGGACCATTCTTTTCCCCACCCTTCACGTCCTGGAGAACCAATCCTATAGGGGTGGTCACAGGGAAGACCTCACTTAAACCCAGACTGATAATTGATCTATCAGCACCACACTCCTCCACTATCCCCAGCCTAAACTCTCTAATACCTTCTGAAGAATTTTCACTGCACTACGCCACTATCGACCATGCCATAGGGGCCATTATACAAGCAGGTACGGGAGCATGGCTGAGTAAAACAGACGTGGTAAACGCCTTCAAGCTTCTACCCACACACCCTTCCCTGTGGCATCTACACGGTATTAAATGGCAAGGGAGGTATTATTTTTTCACCCGACTTACTTTCGGCTCCAAAAGCAGTCCACGTATTTTTGACAAGTTTGCAGAGGCTCTAACTAAATGTGTGCAAGTGCCCTTCGGTTATACATTATCTGGACGATTTCCTCTTGATTGAGAATAACACTCTTCCACCTAGTAGTTTGAATCACTTATTGGCACTGTTTGAATCTCTTAACATTCCTGTCTCTCCTCACAAAACTTTGGGTCCAGATACCTACATGCAATTTTTGGGCATACAACTAGACACGATAAACATGCAGGCCAGTCTACCTCAGGACAAGATTGAGCGTACCCGGGCAAGTATTGAACATTACCTGCTACAAGGTCATTGCAATCGGAAAGAACTCCAATCACTACTTGGATCACTCAATTTTGCCATGAGGATCATACCCCAAGGTAGATCTTTTATATCCCACCTGCTATCCTGGTTTCCACTGTTTTCTTCGGACACTTCACATATCGCATTATATGTACACGCAAATTCTGATTTACGCATGTGGCGGGTCTTTCTCACCTCTTGGAATGGGTGAACCATGTTTATACCACCTCCATCCAACACATCACCTACATTATGGACAGATGCCGCAGCTAACACAGGCTTTGCTGCCATCTGGGGTGACCAATGGCTTTGGGGCCCTTGGCCTACCGAAGTCGAATCACTACCCAAATTTTCTGACACCTCGGCTTTATTTGAGTTGCACGCAATCGTGGAGGCAGCCATTGCTTGGGGACCATATTGGTCTGGCCACACGGTCAGGTGCTACTCGGATAACCTGGCTACATGCCACATTGTGAATAAAGGCCGTTCGGCATCACTGGTCATTATGAGGCTACCTTTTCTGGTCATAAAGAAAAAAGTAGCCCTGAACTTGTCTTACATTAAAAACACAAAACTATAAAAATTCTGAAACAAGGAGAAAAAGTTAAGCACACAAAAGAAACTATGTCTGAGGTGAATCAGAATCACAATTAATTCACTTATTTATTCTGATTGGCTACATCAATAACCCTGTAAGTATTGATTTGCCATGTTTTTAAGCAGTTGCAGTGAGTATCAGAGAACAGCCCGTTTGTCTTTTTTTTTTTTTTTATAACTGGAATATGGATGCTTGTTCAATGTCACATATTAGGGTATCTTTGCCACTAAAATCCAAAATGCCTCAAATGCATACTATTTTTTTTTTACTCACCTTTATTCCCCTGGCACACCAGTCTCGCCGTGGCTACCACTCCTTCTCTGGTTGCTGAGATTATCAATCCGAATTATTTAAGCCAATGCAATGCTTCCCTATAGGGAAGCTTTGGGAGGTTAGTGTGCATGCACAGCTAATCGCCACAATATTCCAAACAGCATCTCCTCACTGAGTCAATGCATCGCTATTGGGAGTATTCAGTGTCTCCATGCTGATCGTGGAGACACTGAGCGTCAATCTTACAATCTTTGCAGTGCTGAACCAAGAAAGGCCTTGTGGTGGCTGAAAGGCCTTGTGGTGGCTGAAAGCCAGTAAAAGCAAGTTAGGAAGAAGTGTAAACACTGCCTTTTCTTCGAATAGACCCTTTCTCCCCAGAACCACCACATTAAACTGTAGTGGTTCTGGTGCCTATACTGTCCCTTTAAATTCAGTTTAAAACTACTCAGATAATTAATTGACTTAAAACGTGTTAGGATGAGATCCATAAAATAAAAAAAGTTTACAAGGAAAAATAATAATAATGGTTGCACATCCCCTGCCCCCATCAAAAAACAAAAATAAAAAAAACAAAAACAAAAAAACGACAATTACATTGCATAACACTACTTTCAGTAATGTGGGTTCTTCCACATCAAATTTGTTTTCTTGAATGCCTCTGAATGTTTCACAGCAAACATGTCATAAAAGTCTGGGGAAATCCAGAAGCCTTTCATTTTCGATATAGATTATAAAAAATTTTTTTAAAAATTGTGTACATTTAATTCTATGGCACGGAAAAATGCATCAATTAAAGTAGCAATCTAGTGTTAGGAACAAAAACCTGTGTCATAGTGCCCTGTCCCATAGTCCCACCCCACGCCCAAAATAAAATAAAAAAAAATAAGGGGTCATATGAAAGCACTGGATTTAACGCTTTTTGCAGTGTCGAAATATACTTGGCGCTGCTCTTCTCTCTGCCTCACATAACATCAGCGAGTTGGACCAAACCAATGATCTTCAGAGGAGCATTGGGGGACCTGATGTGCAGGGCAGCGAGTGCCTTGATCATTCAATATTTATAGAAAAGCATTAAATCCAGTGCTTTCCTATGACCCCAGGTTTCATTAGGTCAGTGCAGCAGGAGCACCTCTAGTGGCTGTCAGTATAACATTTCTAAATGCAATTATTTACAGCAGAATGTGATATGGCTTTGTGTTAAAGTACCACAAATGGAGACATTTCTAAATTTGTAGAGGGGAAGGTCGCAATGCTGGGAGCATCAAAATTAGTATTGATACCCCACATTGTGTCAGTGAATCTATATAGTCATAAAAGTATTTAAACGTTAAAGCTTGTGCTTGTTTTCCTGTTTTGTATTATATGCTGCCAAATTTCAAATTTATAGTAACACCACATCCACTTTAGAACACTTAGAGCACCAAAACAACTTTAGCTTAATGGAGTGGTTTTAGTGTATAGGTCATACATCTGCAGTCTAACTAAATGGCTGAGAATTGAGTAGTGAGGCTGCACGGCATGATCTATACACCTAAACCACTCCATTAAGCTAAAGCTGTTTTGGTGCTTAGAGTATTCCTTTAAGCATTTTGCATTACTTTAATAAACCTATAACAAGCTTTGCAAATGAATCATTTGTACAGGATTGTGTTGCGATTTCAGTACCTCCCAATCTGATCCTGCTCTCTCTGGTACAATAAAACAAAATAAATTCACAAACACCCCTACACCAATTTTTTTTTTTTTTTAGCCTTTACTGAATAATTCACAATTTCATAGAATAATTTAATGTCTATCCTCTCACCTGACGTAGTTTGGCCATGGACTCACTGGGGATAATCTCATTGCTCTGCAGCTGAGTAATGAAGCAGAGAGCCTGGAACTGACTTTGTCCTCTCTCTAGCTCCCCCAATATCAAGACTCTGAAAATCTTCACACTCTGGAAAGAGAAGACAAATAACATATCAAACATGCATTTTCTCTCACTTACGTCTTTGGCATTATAAACACCTTTAGATACATTGCTGACTAATTCGCCTCTTTGGAAAAGCTAGTTGCCTCCATTAATCATTTGTCTGGATGACTTTTTCCGTTGGGGAAAACTGGTGCTGATTTTAGTGCTTTGCACTGGGAACAAATTGTCGAGTGCCACCTGCACTGACTGCAGTATCTTCTAAGGTACACAAGTTTGCTAACATTTCTTTATGTATTGACACACAGTGAAACAAACCTTCAAAGCAACTATATACAATGCAGAGAAGACACAGACTGGCAAGTAGAAAAAAGTCAGGAATACGTCAGGTCACACACAGAATTACAAGTGAACAGGAAACAGTTAGGAATTAGGAGGTAAAAAGAACTACAAACAAGGACTGACCAGATTTCAAATGCAATTTCAGTAAGTCATGCCTGCATGCAATGCAAGGAGATCCTAATTCTGTGGCCAAGTGAAAATGATACACATTTACAAACACACACACACGCTACAAATATGTCGGTGAATGAACTACGGGGACATCTGGACTACGTAGAAAAAGTTCAGAGTACATATCTTGAGAGGGAACAGATGTAAAATTATGTGTATTTACATTTTAACTGTCTTAGCTTGGGGCCCTCAGTAGGTCATTGAAACTTAAGTTAAGTGAGGAGGAAATAAAGGAGAGAAAAAACAAAACAAAAACAAAGTTATACACAAAACAAAAAATCCCCCTTGCAAAGTCAATACCGTAGACACTCATACATAAAGCAAAATACATGCATAGAAAATAAAAAAGTGATGCACCAAACCATACAGTACAAATAGGGAAAGGCAAGTCCAGTAGCTGGTATAGATCATAGAAAACTATTGTACAAAGAACAGTCTGAGAGAAAGTAGTGATCACTTTTTAAATAGGATATAAAAAAATAAATAAAAAAAATAAAAAAAGACACTATTGCTTGAGCTCGACTGTAGGCAGATCTTCATTTTTGTAGTGCATTAATATACTTAGAAACTTATAATAACGTTTTACATAAGTATGCACAAAAAGTTGAAATCATGTTGGACATAAAACGTTGGGCGGCGAGGCTTAACCGCCAATGCCAAATGATCGACGAGACTCAAGCTCCTCAATCATTTGCAGTATTTACTCAAAACATAGCAGTACAACCGCAACAATGAATCATACTGACACCGGGTGAAGCCGGGAAGCAGTTGTGCCACTCATATATGCGACGAAGAACCGACCTGTCTGACTTGCGGTCTGGTTTAGGCCTAACCTGGAGTTGCAGCCGACCTCTTGGGCGGGAACCAAATGGCTGCCTTGGGGCAGAGTCCCGTATCCCCCCCGTGACCGGTGGGGTCATCTCAGTCCTTGCCCCTACATCACTTGCCACTCAGAGCCTACCTACCTGACCTGAATCCCACACATCATCCCTACAATGGAAGGAGTGTCCCCAAGATGGCGGACGCGTCTAACTCCCTGATAAGCACCATTCCACATCCTGAATGGCTCTCTAGAACCTCGTGAAGCAATCTCTGCAGTGGCTGGATGCACTCTTCGCACAATTTTGGGAAAAACTGAAGAAGCATGCGGCAACAGCCCTAAAGCAGCCTCAGAGAGGAATTTGGATGTAAGAATGCCAGGGGGTGAGCGGATCTCTTTTGGGCATAGCCTTTCCTGCAACTTCTGTCTCTACTCATATTAGCACACCCGGGCAAGACCCTACAGCATCGCCCATACCGACAGAGGGCTGTCCACCGCAGGTAGTCACAATAGCCTCCTCTCCTGTGTCTCCCCAAAGGAGGAAGACTGGGACTCTCAGAGTGTCAGGATTACTGTTTGATCCAGCACGTAGAACTGTACAGCACGGATGACAAATAAGTAACGTATTACCGGTCCTTAGAATGGCCGGATTTAACGTACAAAGAATAGTCAAAAATACTAGCCGAGGTCAGGGAACACAGAAAGGGACACAGCGATGAGGAAAACCAGGAGTCAGGATACCAGAATATAGAGAAGTCAATAAACAAAGCCAAAGTCAAAAACCAGGTAGAAAACTATAAACAGGAACGCGCTCTCGGACAACCACAAGGGAAACCACGACAGGGCACTGAGCAGGCTGAGAACTGGGCCTAAATACCCCTCCTTTCTTTCTGATAGGCTGTAACCGGCCTTTGACCACAAAGTCAGTTACCAGGTTTGATTTGCATAATTGCTGCTCAGCATTAACCCTTCTGTGGATTAGGTTGCTGCTCGGCACAACTTTTCCTGTGTTGACAGTAAATGTCATTAACCACATTTCTATAAGCAGATGAATACGTGACACAGAGCCTCCCTGTTCGTGTCTCGAAGATGCCGGCCTACCTAAGAGCCTGGGGCTGGAAACGGGCTCCCGCTCGCTCCCACCACGCCTCTACCCAAACTGGTCTCGAAAAGGACTGCTTGAAGATTCCTACCAGCGGCACTGGCTGAGTTCCTGATCCTACCCAACTGCTGCTTCCTAACTGATACCAGCACAAATATACCTGTCGATTACTCCAAGTACTTTTACACTAATTTGTTCCGCTAACTGCAGTGTTGCTCGTCTATATTACCTATGTTTTTTCTCTTTATTTTCTTCTTAGTGTTGCATAATGCCCATGCCATGTACAGCCTATGTTTAAGCGTAGTATTTTAAATACGAACATAAAGAGAGGATTGGGTAATCTTGTGGCTTCGAGCAACATGTTCACCTAGCATCAAACTACTATTGGGTTTTCAGCCCATAAGTCTATTTGAGTCAAAAATGAGAACGGGCAGCAGCTGAAATAGCCTGCCCTTCGGTCGGTCCCCGCTCAGTTCTCAAGCTGATTTTTGCATATCAGACTGGTCCCACCCATACGGGCAGTCCAGATCCGAAATGCCAGCAAGTTGGCACCAGTCTGATATGCTTCAGATATGTTCTCTCTGAAATGGCAAAAAATGAGCAAAAATCAGCTTGAGAACTGAGCGGGGACCGACCGAAGGGCAGGCTATTTCGCTGCTGCCTGTTCTCAGTATTCTCTTGAGACCCATTCTTGACTCTCCACAAGTTTAAAGGGATAATCCAGACGTGGACCCCTTGCTCACGGTGCCTAGGGAGATATCAGCTATGCCTCACTGATGATGCCTAACAAGACTGAAACGATCGTCTGGGGTTGCTGTATCTCTCGTGCATATCTTGGCCCGACGTATTCTTTACTTAATACTGTGCAAGTGACATTTTTGTTAAAGGGACTCGCCAGTGCCAGGAAAACAATCTGTTTTCCTGGCACTGCAGGTCACCTCCCTCTCCAACCTCCCAATCCCCGGTTGCTGAAGAGCTCTCCATAGGAAAGCATTGAAAATGCTTTCCTATGGGGGAATTGAGCGACGCTGGAGGTCCTCACACAGCGCGAGGACGTCCAGCAACGCTCTAGCACAGGTTTTCTGTGCTATGGACCAGGAAGTGCCCTCTAGTGGCTGTCTACTAGACAGCCACTAGAGGTGGAGTTAACCCTGCAAGGTAATTATTGCAGTTTATAAAAAAACTGCAATAATTACACTTGCAGGGTTAAGGGTAGTGGGAGTTGGCACCCAGACCACTCCAATGGGCAGAAGTGGTCTAGGTGCCTGGAGTGTCCCTTGAATTAGTTTTGGTTATTTTCAATTATTAATCTCTACCCAGTGGCACTGCTAGCTAGGTGTGTTTGGGCATTGGGAGATAGATTGAGGTTCTATAAGTGCATGCAACCTCCTGTAGATATATTTTTGAGAAAGCTTGTATAGGATATGTCTATCAACTTGTGCACCTGAAACGTATTTGTCTATGCCTTGCCACTTTACAATATATTCCTACGTAGATCTAGCATGTTTATTATAATGTAAAAATGTGCAGTTGTATTAAATGCCCTAACATTGTCTATTTTAAAACACTCACATTAGCTATTGTGGCACTGTGAGCTCGTTGTAATCTTTTGCACAAAAAAAAAAAAAAAAAAAGAATATTCAGATACACTATCTTGTAAGGGATTCTAGACATTGTGAGGGAAAGCTCATCTTATTTAGTAATGAACATGTTTGACCAAGACAAAATAAATGAGCATAAGTGTTCCACCCCAGAGGTAAGACTCATCCAGGAGCTAAGCACTCCGTTCAGCCTATGCCATTCAAGGGCCCGATGTGGTCCCACAGATGGCGCTGGTCTGCAGGCCCAGTGTTATAGAGATGGTCTGTAAGCCCAGCATTGTCAGGCACCTTCCCTTCTGCCCATCATCGTGCTGTGATTTTCCTAGGCTTGCCTGTCGTCTGTGCAGCACCGGTGTCGGCTTGGTCTCCACTCTCCTCTTAGTGAGCTGATGTGATCTCCGCCGTCTCCGATGCACACTGCTAATGGTGATTTGTTCTGGTCAACATGGGATGCAGCACAGAGGACTCGCCCCTTCTTGATCAGCTTGTTGGGCAGGCATGTTCATTCTTGAGGTAACCTTTACCCAAAAAGTGTGAAAGATTGCATCCAAGCATTAAAGGGTGGAGGACATTTCTTCAGTATATGCAGGTCACGTGACGTCATGCGGTCATATGCAACAAAGGCAATCGACCTTCATTTCTGAAATCAGGACACCCTCGGGTACCCTATCCTATTAACTCCCTGTTGTCTTTCCACAACTTATATACTAGCCTTTATAACCTACGAGACTCACCTCCACTTGGAAAGATACTACAAAGCCATCATGTTATCCAGAATTTGCGAATGGTCCAAATACCCGCCAACGGACTATACTGGAGGCCTCTGTGTTCCAGGTTCGTAACCACACAATCCCATGGAAAAAAGCACATCCCTTGACACTGCTCTTCAACCACACCACACATCCCACAATCCTACCAATGCTTAAGACCTGGGCAAGATTATATTAAGTTGACAACATATCTCCTTACTTGTTCCCCCTGTGCCCTATTACCCACAACCCACTCTTCATACTGGGACCACAAGCCACAACCTGCCAAGGTATCCAACAAATACATGACCTACCCTACCATACTAGAGGGTCACTCAGTGCGGTCGCTCTCCAGCTTGACGAAACCAGATACCCCAACTACGATGCAAACGTTACACTTTGCACAAGTGCTACACTTCTTACAAGCCAACCACACCCTGCTGAAAGGATCTCGCACTCTCTCTGACTTTGAGATACATTGCAAAAAAAACAAAATGTTAAAACAAAACTGCTCTCGACCTTTTACAAACTTCTCCAGGCCAATCACACCATCCACCTATCTCCCTACATGGAATCATGGTCCATGGACATTAATATTAAGTTCACACCACCCCAATGAAAAACTATTTTTCCCAAATACACTTTAATCTGCACTAATGTACAGGAGATTGGCTACAAGCGAATCTCCAAGTGGCACTACTCCCCATCTAAACTGCACGGTCTGTTCCCCAACACACCGGATGTGCGCAACTGGGGGCGTGCCCCTTATGCACATCTGGTGGCATTGCCCAATAACCCATAGATTTTGGACCAATATAGTGACAACCAAGACAGTGACGGGAATACAGCTAACCCACATACACTTGTGTTCCTGATCCTACCTTGCACCCTCTCCAAGGTACAAACATCCTCCTGACCCACTTCCTTCCAGCTGCCAACCTCCTCATTCCAGTCAAATGGAAAAACTCTGCTGCTCCAACGGTCATAGAATGTATCGCTAGAGTAGACGCGCACTCAAAACAATGGAAGAAATCAATGCCTCCATCTCCCATAAATACGCTCTTTTCCAAGAGGTATTGGAACCATGGACAAAATTTATGGCAGAATCTTAAACTAGAACCCTCGACACCACAGCCGGTCTCCCCCCTCTTCTTAAGACACTCTCCCCCCAACTCCTCCTCTTCCACTTTTTACCCCCACAATGCATACTACTTGCACAACCTCTAGTCTCCCCAGATCTTTATTTTTAAGCAATGAAATGTGGAAATGCATTTGAAGGATCTAGATCCTTCCTTTTGTGAGTAGTCCTAAAACATTTCTAGCACAGAGTTATATTCCATATAAAACTATCCAGTAATTGAAATAATCTAAATACTGAGAGTTACACATGAAACAATGAATTGGAAATTGAGGACAAATTAACAGTTACAAATAAATGATTCAATATATAGTTAACACATATTTTGCACTTGTAAAATTGTTAAAGCTTCAGCTTTCAGTGAATTTAGTTAATACACACTATTGATAGATTTCACTTGTTTTCAGTCTATTACAAAATGTGAAGCCATCGCTCTATTTAATAAAGGAGCATCATAGTTAGTGACATATTTCTTCAACCTCACATGCATTTTACCCAGTAGCTACTGAACTGGATGCATGTAATAGTGCTTGATAACGATTCTAGACACCTGCTGCTTGTGTAAATAATGGCTTGATAAAGACAAGTCTGTGTTCAAAACAGTTCCCTCATAAATATGTCATCATTTAACATGATCTTGGATTACGGTTTCTTTTTCTCCGTAGCTCGAGGTGCAAGACAACACATGCTCGCCATATACAGTCTTCATGCAAACTGTGCAAGGTGACCATTGCCAAACGCGTTAAAGAAGAACAACTAAGCAATTCTAAACCAAGTGTAGTCTTAAAAAACCCTCTGACTTCAGGTTACTACTATTATTCTTCTCTCCAGACAAGAGATATGGATTCATAGCTTGTGCATTCTGACACTTCGGAAGGTGAAATGACCATGAAGTCTTCAGGAAGAGGAGGTGGCATAAGGCCAAGGACTGACCTATCTCACTTCAGGGAAAGAAACATAATCCTCAGATTTGGTCCCACAGAGGCATTTTCAGTCTCATGGTAAGAAAAGCCAGATCCAGGAAAAAAAGGGTGGGGGGATTTTAACCACAAAGAAAGATGAACTTTATAGGTTTAGGTGTTTTGTATTACTAACACCTAAGTGTTTCTTTAATTTAGAATTTATCTAGGGTTCTGGTAATAGCCAGCAGGAGCCTCCTGAGTGTCATTAAAGTTCAATTTACAGCGCAGGAGATATGAACTTCAAGAGTTAAAGGGACACTATAGTCACCAGAACAACTTCAGCTTATTGAATTTTAGAAACATTACCTTCAGGCTTTTTGCTGTAAACACTGTCTTTTCAGATAAAATGCAGTGTTTACATTACAGCCTAGTGATAACTTCACTGGTCACTCCTCAGATAGCTGCTAGAGATCCTTCCTGGGCCATGGCTGCCTAAAATGCATCCAAACATTCAGTATCTCTGCATGCAGACACTGAACTTTCCTTATAGAGATTCATTGATTCAATTCATCTCTATGTGGAGATGCTGATTGGCCAGGGCTGTGTTTGAATCATGCTGGCCTGCCCCTGATCTGCCTCCTGGTCAGTCTCAGCCAATCCTATGGGGAAGCATTGTGATTGGATTAGGCTACCACTTCTGAGGATGTCAGCAGACTGCTTTTTTTTTTTTAAGGCAAACAGCATGCAGAGTTACAGCTTCTGGCTTTAATACAGTAAGATTTTGCTATTTTTAGGGAGGCATGAGGGGCCCAGATGGTGGTTTTAGCATACATGTTTGTGTTCCTGACCCTATAGTGATCCTTTAAGATCTAATTAAAAATGAAACGATTTTTCCCCTGGAGGCTGTGAGAGTCCCAGTCAGGGGAGGTGTGGCTAGGGCTGCATTAACCCCTTAAGGACACAGCTTCAGAAGCTTGACTTACGCTTAATGACACAAGCAATTTTTGCATTTTCTTGCTGTTTGCGTTCAACTGCAATTTGCATCTCTCTCATTTATTGCACCGACACATATTATATACTGTTTTTTAAAGGACAGAAAGGACTTTAATTTGATATAACATATATATATATAAATGCTTACTTATTATAAAAAAAATACAGAAAAATGCAAAAAAAATGAAAAATATTGTTTTTTTTTACAGTTTTTGCAGTAATAATGTGTGCATAATTAGTGCAGGTTAAGGAAAGTAATTAAAAATAAATTTATTTATTTGTTCTGATTTACAGAATATATAATGTGTCTGGGATTTTAAGTTTTTTTTGGTAGTTACAGGTCACAAAGCACAAGGAGTAAAATAAACTTTTAATGTGGAACGATTTTAGAATTTGTTATGTTTGTCTTGTAAGCTTAATAGCCATAAAAGAAAACAAAATTGCCACACAAAAGTATATATTTATATAAAGTAGACATCACGGGCTATTTACCTAAGGTTGTTTTGACACTTTCTACGTAGCCATATTACCGCCAACCTCTGCTAAATATTGGAGTAAAATTGTGTTCTTTTTGGGTTTTGGCACACAAACTTATAACAGAGAAATTCTCGTGTATATTTTGTAAAGTTGGTGTGTGCTATTCCTGTACAAAGTTTTATTTTGTGTTCAGTTATATCTGCTGAGTAAAATGACACCCCCATTGTATGTCTTTTGCACTATTTCGTGAAGTTACAGTGCCATACAGGATACCTGTCCTTTTCAGTATTCACAGTAAAATTTTGAGAGATGAATTTAATGAGCCTTAGCTTCCATTTGGGGTATTATAACAGTTTGACTGTTCAAAAAACCCCCACAAAGGCCTACCATTTGTAAAAGTAGACACTCCAGGGTATCTTATAAGGTGCATATTGTGCCTTAACATGCCCCCATTTTTTCACCAATATATGCCAAAGTATGTGGTAAAAAAAAATTTTGTGCATTTTTACATACGGATTGCATTTTTGCTGGGCGTTTTGTATATTTCATATGTGCCACTAAGTTCAAACCCCCCAAATTATGCTCAGCTAAGTCTTCTGGGTAAAATGACACCCCATATGAATGTCTTTGGCACTATTTCGTGAAGCTACAGTGCCATATAGGAGACCTGTCCTTTACAGTATTCACAGTAGAATTTTGAGAGACGGATTTAATGAGCCTTAGCTTCCATTTGGGGAATTATAACAGTTTGACTGTTCAAAAAACCCCCACAAAGGCCTACCATTTGTAAAAGTAGACACTCCAGGGTATCTCATAAGGTGCATATTGTGCCTTAACATACCCCCATTTTTTCACCAATATATACCAAAGTATGTGGTAAAAAAATTATTTTGTGCATTTTTTACATACGGATTGCATTTTTGCTGGGCGTTTTGTATATTTCATATGTGCCACTAAGTTCAAACCTCCCAAATTATGCTCAACTAAGTCTTTTGAGTAAAAATACACCCCAATGAATGTCTTTGTCACTATTTTGTGAAGCTACAGTGCCATATAGGAGACCAAGCCATATCCGTTTTTACCAAACTTTGAATTTTGACGCTGGGCCTATGTACAATTTCCAAGCATCTTCGCAGGTTTTAAATTCAATCTACCCCACAAAGGCCTACCATTTCTTAAAGTAGACACCCCAGGGTGTTTCAAAAGGTATAGTTTGAACCTTAGCGTGGGATCATTTTTCAGCTAGCTTGTACCAGATGTAGTGGTAATAAGCGTTTTTTCTGCCTTTTTGACATACAAAGTGAGTTTGCACAGTATATTTTGCAAACCTTATGTGTGCTACGACTGTATAATACTTCATATGTTGCTCAACTATGTCGGCTGAGTACAGCAATACCCCCGTATGTACCTTTGCCAGGTATGTGTGGACATCGGAGGGGCACATTTGGGACACAGCCATTCCAGTGTTTTTCAAACTTTGAATTTTTATGCTGTGCCTATGTCCCATTTTAGAGGATTTTACCAGGCTATATAATCCAAATTCCCCATAAAGCCATACCATTTCTTAAAGAAGACATCCCAGGGTATTTCAAAAGGCATATTTTGAACCTTAGTGTAGGATCATTTTTCCGCTAGCTTGTACCAAGTGTAGTGGTAATAAGCATTTTTTCGGCCTTTTTGACATACAAAGTGAGTTTGCGCAGCATATTTTGCAAACCTTATGTGTGCTATAACTGTATAATACTTCATATGTTGCTCAGCTATGTCGGCTGAGTACAGCAATACCCCCGTATGTACCTTTGCCGGGTATATGTGGATGTTGAAGGGGCGCATTTGAGACGCAGCCATTCAGTTTTTTTCTAACTTTGAAGTTTTACGCTGTGTCCATGTTCCAATTTGGAATAGTTTAGACGGTTGGTTATTGAAACTTCCCCACAAACACATACTATTTATTAAAGAATACACCCTGGGGTAATTCAAAAGGCATATTTTGAACCTTGGCGTGGGATAATTTTTTCTCTATTTTGTTCCAGGTGTAGTGGTAATGAGCGTTTTTAAAATGTATTTTTTTACTTTTTATAACTTTTTTACTTTTAAAAACTAGTTTTTAAACTTTTCTTTTGCTTATAAATTTTTTTTTAAACTTTCCTAAACTTTCTTAAAACTTTTTACAGATTTAACATTTTTCTAAGCTATTTTTTTTACTGTTAACCCCTAACTAGCAGTACGCAGCACTAACAGTAAATTCCCCATTTTCCCATAACTCCCACCCACCCTAGCTAGCAAAATATATAGTTATAAAATATTTAAATTAATTAATTAAATAAATTGAACCCCTGAGGGTTAAAAAAAAAAAAAAAAAAAAGTTAATCCTCAGAGGTTAAAAAAAATTAGATCACAGTATAATACTGTGATCTCTATTTGATCGCTGTAGGCAGTGATCGACTGGCAGGGAAGGGGTTAATTTTTATTTGGACTAGGTAAAGTGTGTTTTTTTGTTTTTATTACTTAAATATTAAAACATTGTTTTAAGCTTAATTTTTTACTTTTTAAAGTTTCTTTTAAAACTTTTTTTTAACGTTAACCCCTAGTTAGCCTAACGTCAAATCCCCCAATTCCCCACTAACTTCCACCTACCCCAGCTATCTAAATATATAATTTAAAAATAATTTAATTAATTTAATTAATTAATTTAACCCCTGAGGGTTAAAAAAAAAAAGAATTAACCCTCAGGGGTTAAAAAAAAAATCAGATCATAGTAAAATGTAATCCCTGCCAATTGATCACTGTAGTCAGTGATCAATTGGCAGGGAAGGGGTTAATTTTTTATTAAAATGGGTAAGGGGGGGGACACTTTAAATAAACTTTATTTTTTTAAACAGCAGGGGGCAGGATCAGCACTGGGGGCAGGATCACACAGAACCCGGAAGTGCAGGGAGCCGGTAGGTAAGTATTTAGAGCACATGTGCTCGCTCCGACTTGTGGTCAGAGCGAGCACATGTGCTGGGCAGCTTGACCGGGTGCTCCCGGTATGCCTCTAATGCAGAGGCATACCGGAGCACCATTAACCCCGCGATCGCCGCGATAGCGGCGATCCGGGGTTAATTTTACCGCGTGACGGACGAGGTCCGTCACCCGTCGTTAAGGGTCTCCCCTGTGTGACGGACCTCGTCCGTCACCCGTCCTGAAGGGGTTAACAGAAACAAACAGAGAAGCCAGCAGTGGGACTGCAGGAACATGATCTATACACCAAAACTGCTTTGCTGCTTAGAATGTCCCTTTAAAAGCCATAGGTGGCTTTACCATTAGGTTGTAAAAGTGAAAAAAAAAAAAAAAAAAAATCATACTTTTCAAATCCAGTGGACTGTAAATAAAAGTGCTCCAAATATGCATGAAACTTCAGTTATTATTCTTTGACTTGCAGGCACTGGGGTATCCACACATTCCAGGTGAAACCTGTCGCTTTGTAAGTTTTGTTTTTAAAATGAATCCATTTTGTCCCATGAAGTGTCAAATACACTACAGATCACTGGGAGCTCTGCAATACTCCAAAAGCTTTGCCCATTAAGGGGCCTTTAAGTTATAGTGTTTGTTTTAAGTTAATGTGTACTCTAGAAATTAGACTGCCTCCATAGAGCAGTTGCATCGCCTCCAGCGAAGTAATCAGAAATTATGAATCGTCCAATCCAATGCTTCTCATAGTCGAGCACTGTGGATATGTGGCGCACATGCAGCAATCGCCACACTATGACAATCCAATGACTTTCTATGTAAAAACAAACATAAGAGCATTCAACGTCAACATGCTGCTGGGTGTATCAAAGCAGAATTTGAAGACACTCAAAAGGAATAAGCTCTAGTGGTTATCAGCCTGACAGTTACTAGAAGCATTTTTTTGTGTGTGCGTGTGTTTTGTTTTGTTTTTTGGTGTTTTTTCGTTTGACAATATTGCAATTTCCCAGAAGCTTCATTAATAGGAGTTTTATAATAATTGCACATTATCTGGATTATCCCCAATATCCCAAAGAGCACTATACATTAGCAGTGCTTTTTACTAGCCTCATAAACAGTGAACATTATGGAGGGCAATTACCGGTACATACCCCAAACCATCAATTACAGGAGAAAATGTGTTAGATACAATTACCTCAAACTAGTGATTAATCAATATTCCTGCTTAGTGCTCCATATAATGTCTGAATTTAAATACTAACCATAACTACATATACTGTATGCATCTATTCCTGACAATACCTCACATTACCCCAGGGAACAACTGCATTATCTCCTCTCCCTGGTAACAAATTGATGTATAGAACAATGCACGATAATGTCTCCTATTACACAAGATCTCTTCATGCACACATACTTCAGTACAAGAAAGCCAGAAAATATGATTTTTTTTCCCACTGTGGATTATGTTACAGCACAATAGGCTCAGGAATTCCTACATCCAAGGCCAGCCCCCCATGTCCTCAGTTCACACATAATATCTAATATTTTTTGGATCAGGGTAACACTGAGGGGAAAAAAAAAAAACACTGGCAGAAATAGTGATTTCTAACCATGACCTACATGTGAGAAGAAATGGAGGGGGTGGAACACTGGGAATGGATTTTACATAATACCAGGCTAAGAAGACTGATGAGTTTACCGGACAAAAAACAACTTAAATGCAGGGAAAATCAATTAACGCCCCCCACGTCCCACCTCCAGAGACATTATGTGAGTTGAGTTTAAAGAAAATGAAGAAAAATTTTAATTTTAGAAAATTGTATAAACAGATGTATTTGCACAAAATGGTGGTAAAATTGCTATTAAATAAAAAAAAAATGCAAGTGGGATAATGCAAGCAATGTTCCATGCCAGATTCACATGACAAAGTCCAATCTTATTCAGAACTGGAGAAACTGCCACATCACACACTCCCTCCCACAGAAACTTCATTATTGATAACACATGTACAACACAAACCCTGGCTCAAGTGACAGAAGCACCACAAAAGCTTAGTTTGCTCTATGTGCAGTTGTTTGCTTTGCCTATTGTATTTTAATTTTACCTGATTATATTAAGAAAGAATATAGTAAATAAGCATTGAAGGGTTTTCAGTCCTAAAAGTAATATGTAAACAACTCTCTTCAGAGAGAGAGACTACAACATTATCACTGTCTGATTATCAGGCCTGCTAATGAAACATTTGTTCAGATAAGGTCTCTGATGTCTGGAAGAACAGTTTGTTAAAAGTTTTGACAGAGACCTAAATGAGGTACATGGCATTATCTTGGCAGCTCATTCTTCAGTTTTAAGTTGCCTCAGGGTTACCACAAGTTTATTCACTACAGTGAGAATGAAGAGTAAAGGCCAAAATAGCCAAGTTGGCAAAGATTGTAGGTAAGAAGTTAAATATGCTTCCAGTTCGATTACTTTGGTCTACAATTTGAAATCCACTTTGAATTCTTACTTTAGTAAATAACCCTATTAGTCTTCAAATGCTATATAATATATAGAAAAGCAACTTCATAATAGGTTTCCCGTGTTTGAGGGACATTGAAAGAGTGTGCAAATAAAGTAGCAGATTTATTTACCAGCTGCCTGGAGACTGAAGGATATAATGTGCCTCCTCCTGCCATTGGGGACCTATTTTGGGTCCCAACCCAGGGTTACAAACTACTAATATAGAAGGAGTCTCTGCTAAAAGGTTTGAATCCAGCTAAAAAACAGATTGCAAACAAATGCATTCAAGAAAGAATAAAAAAAAACAAAAGCTATTGTGTTTTATGGAAATCACAATACATACCACAATTTTGACATTTGTGCACAATACAGAACAGTGTTTACATTGCTACCAAGTAACACCTCTAGTTGCGGTCACTCAGATGGCCACTAGATGTGCATCCTAGTCCATTGCTGCAAAGTGTGCAGCCCCCATGCTCTCACACACACACACACACACACACACTATTATTTGCTTTAATTTACATCCATTCAGCCTCCATACCTTTGGGAGAGCTAGAGTGGATCCTTTCCCTGCATCCAATTGAGCTAAAGGGTCCTGAAATCTGCTCCCTCATGCACCATTTACTGATGCCAAGGCCAGAGTGGCATCACAGCATGGCACACAAGTGAACAGAATGAGAAGGGAAGTAAGGGAATATTACAGCTCCCTCACTACCTCCATTCTGCACAGCCGCCCGCCTTGGGTAGCCATTGCTGAACACACAGACACACACCCAGGTGCCAGGACAAAATTCCTAGTCGACATGGCAACCTGGAACTTGTCGAGCCCTGTCTTAGAAACAGGGATCGATTTATTAAAGTCAAAAAGGGAAATCAATGGCACTGCATTAAAGGACCACTATAGTGCCAGGAAAATAAACTAATTTTCCTGGCACTATAGTGCCCTAAGGGTGGCCCACCCTCAAAGTCCCACTCCCGCCGGGCTGAAGGGGGCTGAATGCGCATGCGCGGCAAGAGCATTTAGAAGGATGGCACATCAATGTGAGCTGTGGCAAGAAGGTTTGTCAGCATAGTGTCCAGAGCATGGAGGCACTACCAGGAGACAGGCCAGTACATTGGGAGACGTGAAGGAGGCCAACAACCCAGCAGCAGGACAGCTACCTCCGCCTTTGTGCAAGGAGGAACAGGAGGAGCACTGCCAGAGCCCTGCAAAATGACCTCCAGCAGGCCACAAATGTACATGTGTCTGGTCAGAAAGACTCCAGGAGGGCCCGACGTCCACAGGTGGGGGTTGTGCTTGCAGCCCAACACCGTGCAGGACGTTTGGCAAATTCGCCACTGGCGCCCTGAGCTCTTCACAGATGAAAGCAGGTTCACACTGAGCACATGTGACAGAGTCTGGAGATGCTGTGGAGAACGTTCTGCTGCCTGCAACATCCTCCAGCATGACCGGTTTGGCAGTGGGTCAGCATTTCTTGGGGGGCCGCACTGCCATTAGGTACTGAGATAAGATCCTCAGACCCCTTGTGAGACCATATGCTGGTGCGGTTGGCACTGGGTTCCTCCTAATACAAGACAATGCTAGACCTCATGTGGCTGGAGTGTGTCAGCAGTTCCTGCAAGACGAAGGCATTGATGCTGTGGACTGGTCCACCCGTTCCCCAGACCTGAATCCAATTGAGCACATCTGGGACATCATGTCTCGCTTCATCCACCAACGTCACGTTGCACCACAGACTGTCCAGGAGTTGGCAGATGCTTTAGTCTGGGAGGAGATCCCTCAGGAGACCATCCGCCACCTCATCAGGATGCACAGTCGTTGTAGGGAGGTCATACAGGCATGTGGAGGCCACACACGCTACTGAGCCTCATTTTGACTTGTTTTAAGGACATTACATCAAAATTGGATCAGCCTGTGTTTTTCCACTTTAATTTTGAGTGTGACTCCAAATCCAGACCTCCATGGGTTGAAAAATTTGATTTCCATTTTTTAATTTTTGTGTGATTTTGTGGTCAGCACATTCAACTATGTAAAGAACAAAGTATTTCAGAAGAATATTTAATTAATTCAGATCTAGGATGTGTTATTTTTGTGTTCCCTTTATTTTTTTGAGCAGTGTATATCATGATACACATACATATATACATATATATAATTTTTCAATCTATATATTTAAATGTGAATATTTATTATTTTACTATAATTAAATACTTTTACAAATTACATGTTGGGGGCGGGGGGGGAAATCAGCCTGACACTTGCAGCCAATCACGCCGATCCGAGTCAATTGATCGCCGTGTCATCACGATCACATCACTCAGATGGATGGGACTGGCTGAGGGGGAGCTGCCTGCGGGGCAGTCCCCTTGATTGCGATCACCGCTGAGGTCAAGTATGCCACCTTACGAGAGGGCTCGATCTTTAGGGCATGTTATGCCGCCCCAACGCGTTACAGCACTCTATTTGTGAGACTTCATAGCACCCCATAACGGCATTAAGGGGTTAAGTCAAACTGTATCAGAATCGCCCTACAAAAAGTACTTTGCAACATTTACTGGGACAAAAAGAGCCACTCTAAGCACCATAACTCCAGGCTATTAATACAACAAATAACATTTTTTTTTTCCCTCTTTTGTGGTGTCAATTTTATCAGAACTATACGTAGCAAGGATCTCTCTCTCTAGTTTTGCTGGAGAGAGCTGAACCACAGTTGCTGTTGATAGCAGGACAGACCACTTTTTAGAGCCCACCTGCACTCCTCTCAAAGTGTTCCTCGTCTTGCCCTGCTTGAGACGCATCCCCAAGTCTCAAATCTCGTCAGTGATGTTGGCATGTTGGCTTTGTTGCTAGTGTCAGAATGGAGTGACAACGTCAATCTGTTCCTATACTTCCTGGACGGCACTTGAAGAGCCGGCTAGGGAGTTTCCATAGCAACCACAGCACATGTGCTGTGACTGATACAGCTGGCGAGCACAGGGGCATATTATAAACTCCGTTAACAAATGCCACTGACAGCTGAGAGAAATGCCTGCTTTTAAAAAGATTTTCTTTTAAACTATAGATTTCCTAGCAAACTGCTAGCACAATGTATAGATAAAATCTTAGGCTCAATCTAATGAGCATAATTTGTTTGAGGTATGAGATGTGCCCTTTAACCTACAAGTTCCTGCTGGACAGTGCTTTAAGGGATAAGATCAGACCCCCAACAAAAATGAGAGGCTACTGATTGATAGTCTTCCTTGTCAGGGAGGAGTATGTATTTAGCTGCAGACAGCCTTTCTCAAATGTAAGGCTGAATGAATGAAATAGATACATGTAGAAGCAGCTTCCATGAGAAGTACATGAGGTTTTTTCCTACCACCCATATAAATTAAATAAAAATTAAGGGTTACTTCAAGCATCGTTACCACTATAGCCTGCTTTTCTGGATCTGAAGCGAGGAGTACTCTAGCCCTGTTTCACAGTAATAGGACAAACTTTTTTTGCAATGGTTTTCCCTCTTACCTGGGCTCTTTCTGCTCTAATGACGCATATCTGGCTTCTGCGGAGCTGCAGAAGCCAGAATCCATTGGCTGAAATCTTTAGCTATGCACTCGCAGCCAAGTATGCAATTATGTGCATAGAAATATGCACAGAATTGATATAAGCCAGCCAGGATCTCTTGCTCCAGATTGGCTGATAACACCCCAATGATGCTGTTGGAAGTGGAGATACACCACTGGTAACAGGGGTTAAACTCCGTATGTGCAGCATTTGAAAGCAAAACTCTGCACATAAAAACTCCAGGCACTAGGACCACTTCAAATTACTGAAGTGGTCATGGTGCATGGAGCAACTCTAATTTTTTTTTTTTTCAATGCACACACAGATTGTTTTTTCCTTTAAAAGAAAATTATGTTATTTGAAAATTACACGAATAAAAATGGTACAATAACTGAATCAATTCTGACAGGTATAGGTTTTTTAGGACCACCCTCACCTGTTTGAAGTCTGCCAAGTAGGTGACAAAGGTTCCATCAGTCTTTCGAAACTCAAGAGTAATGCAGTCCCTCTCACTGTCGGCTTGCAAAGTTTCTTCTGTTATCTGCCCATCCTCAAGCCGCACACGGACCCTTAGCTCACTGAGGCTTGTCTGGCAACACCACAGTATTGGAACAATTAGCCAAAAGAACCTCCTTAGATCCACCAGAGGAAACATCACCAGGCTGCCAGGATGAGTAAATGAAGATCCAGGGGTATCAGGAAAAACTAAAACAAAAAAGAAAAGAGAAAGCTTGTGAACAGGACTGTCTCAGGGCACATGTATCCGTCAATCCCGAGACATTGAGGGGTGCTAGTAGAGATGACGAGCACAAACATGTTCACTAAAGACACCTCCCAAAAAATCTGTGATGCTGCGTTTTCATAACGCAATCCAACGCTAGACAAAAGTAGAGATAATGTGACAAAGCAAAAGTGACTTAAGCAATGTCCTATAGAGAAGCAATAAACTCAGCATGATAAAACCAAATGAAAAAGTAATATGCATGTAAAGAATTAAACAAAATAAAACTAAATAGAAAAAAATTAAATAAAAATAACCGGACAAAAACTCAGACAGGGGAGTGGTTATACAAATGAAGAGTGGGTCAAGTAATTTAAATAAAGTGAAATACTGGGGGGTGCAGTAAAAGACTAAAAAGTGAAGTGACCAGTAGTGAGATGAAAACTGAATTTCAAAATGTAAGCAACAATAAATAATTTGGAAACATTCTCTAACTCGGCTAAATCAAAACATATGCAATTCAGGTTTTAATCCATTACAGTTCAGTGTTTAGACAATAATCCCCACTAAAAAGTTTTAGAACCCCAGTAGCCATAGTAAAAGATACAGATCCAGAAAAAAAAAAATAATGGGTGCAATGGAGGAGATGGTAGCCCACCTCCCTAGTATTACAGTGATGTGGAAAAGTCCAGTCTTAGAAAATAACGAAAAAATCCTACAGGCTCTCACAGTTCACACTCTTATAACGTATTGCAATGTCATAAATCTCAGCTTGCAAAAGGGTGGGTAACAATAAAAATGGGCCAGGCTTATAGCACATAACGAGACTTGGCAGTAAAGTGAGATAAAGATAGAGAGCCTGGGGGTAAAGAATAAAAGGTCTAAAGAGCAAAAGTGCATGAACCAAATCCAGTGAAATGTAAATCACTTGACAAGGGAATGTATCTGAAGAGGGGAACTGCTAGAGCAGGGTGGAGGAGATAAAGGGAAAATATCGGATTAAATAATGGGATTGGAGAAATCATTAAAAAAAAAACCTGCTGGAATTGGACAAACAATCCTGAGGCAGAAATGGACAGAGAGCCAGGATTCCACGTTGGTCCAGGATTTTATAGATAGAATGTATCCTGGAACGTTGGGTATCTGTACCTAGCCGGGCTCGGGTCTCGGTTGTCCCGGGTGATTGTGCCACATGCCATGCGGAGCAAGGTTCACGCTTTCGATTCCTGGGATCACAGGACAAATAAGAGATTCTCGCAGCCCTAACCAGACTCGGGTCTTTGGATGTTCTCCCCCAGGCGGCGGCTTCCAGAGCCGTCACTTCCTTCGGGACCAGCCTCCTGGTTTAAAGGGACACACACATACACACAGATCTCTACACACTGTATCACACAAAGAGTCAGATTGGGATATTACACGGTGACAAGAGTCATGCTTATTCTCTAAAGTAAAGATTCGAAGTGAATTTCAGATTTATGGCCAAATTTACCGAATTGGAAAAAAATGTTCTGAATCTGGAAGGCTACTTTGGCCTTAGTTTTGAAATTCACTTTGAATTATCCCTTCAGTGAATAACCCCCACTGTGAATAGTTACATTCAGAGCACTGCTGTCCAAAAGCTTGGTGTAACAAGCACAAATCTAAACCAAAAAAAGGACAATGGCACAAATTAACATAAGAAACACCGTATTTAAAAAAAAATACTGATTGTCATAGAATGTGGGCAAGGCGAAAGCACTGTAATGCAGTCTTTGAAAACCAAAACCATTCAGAGTTGCTGTCCCTATATCCCTCCCCCTGCTTTAACCCTGCAGCTGAACACATTGCCGGCAATGTTTATATCAACTTTTGCTGAATTAGGCAGTTTTGGTGTACACAGTAAATCATGCTGCAAAAGGCTCACTTCTCTATTATTTGCCATTTAGTTGTTAAATTACTTTTGTTTTTGTACATGCAGCCGTAGCCACACCTCCCCTGGTATGTGACTGACACAGCCTGCATGAAAAAAATGCTTTCTATTAACAATGCAGGAGATAGTTAACTCTAAATTAAATAGACTGTGCAATAAAGAAAATGCAAACATTAGATCTCACTTTACAGAAAAAGTGTAGGAAGGATGTGCTGTTACATGCAGGGAGGCGTGACTAGGGCTGATAAATGAAGATAACTTAACAGTGAGACTGCAGAGGCATGATCTATGCATAAAAACTGAATTAAAGCAAAAAGTTATTTTGGTGATAGTGTCCCTTTAACTCCTTTGTGACTATATTTATTATTTAGTACATTATTTAAAGGTAAACTACAGGTTAGGAATACAAAATTGCTCCCTATTGTACCCCCTTGCTTGAGTGACTCCCCCCCTCCACCCAACCGCAGACCCTTATTGTCACTTAATTAAATCCAGCAGCGATGTCCCTCGGTGCTGGGTCAGGCTCTGCCTTGTCTCCTGCTCCTTGACCTAACGCGCATGCACGGTGACAGCCGCAAGACCACTAGGACAGCCCCATACGTCCAGCATCAGTTAGGCGATAAAATGTCACCTGACAACCCGCAAGTTTCTATCTGGTATACAGAGTCTAAAAGGTGGGGTTAACCCTGAATAGTAATTATTGCAGTTTCTCAATAACTGCAATAATTACTATTGCAGGGTTAAACTGAAAGGGGCACTGAAACAATTATGGTTGTTTTACTTATGTCTGCTGTAATTAAATCCATTACCATTCAGTGCGAGCGCGTGCACGCACGCATACACACACACACACACACACATTTTTTGTTCAAAGTTACACTGGCCCCTCTGAGTTTTTTTTTTTTTTTATAAAATAGAATCTTTAAAGGGATACTTTAAAGTCTTTAAATAATCTATAAAGTCAACAATACAGCTTTAGCTTAATGAAGCAGGTTTTACTGCTCAATTCTCTGACATGGAGTTTAATCACTTTTGTTTCTGTCCATGCAGCCCTAGTCACACCTCCCCTCAGGGGCGGACTGACAACACACAGGGCCCTTGGGCTATAGGAGACCAAGGGCCCCCTTCTGGTGCAAAGATTTTTACCCCTGTGTTTGCTGGTGACATCACAAGCAGCATGCCCCACATTTGTTTTCAATCATACAAGTCCATACAAGTAGCCTGCAAACGGCGGGGGAGACTTATTGAGCATGCGCGGCCGGGGAGACCTAATGCGCATGCGTGGCAATGCTGCGCACGCGCATTAGACCTCCCCATAGGAAAGCAGTGAATGCTTTCAATGCTTTCCTATGGGGATTTCAGCGATCCTGGGGTCCTCACATAGCGTGAGGACGTCCAGCGATGTTATAGCACACTTTTCGTGTTCTATGAACACGGTAGTGTCTGTCACATATTCATCCGCATATAGAAATGTGGTTAATGACATTTATTGTCCACACAGGAAAAGTTGTGCCGAGCAGCAACCTAATCCACAGAAGGGTTAATGCTGAGCAGTAATTGTGCAAATGAAACCTGGTGTCATGTATTCATCCGCTTAGAGAAAAGTGATTAATGACATTTACTGTCCACACAGGAAAAGTTGTGCCGAGCAGCAACCTAATCCACAGAAGGGTTAATGCTGAGCAGCAATTATGCAAATGAAACCTGGTAACTGACTTTGGGGTCAAAGGCCGGTTACAGCCTATCAGAACTAAAGGAGGGGTATTTAGGCCCAGTTCTCAGCCTGCTCAGTGCCCTGTCGTGGTTTCCCTTGTGGTTGTCTGAGAGCGCGTTCCTGTTTATAGTTTTCTACCTGGTTTTTGACTTTGACTTTGGCTTTGTTTATTGACTTCTCTATATTCTGGTATCCTGACTCCTGGCTTTCCTCATCGCTGTGTCCCTTTCTGTGTTCCCTGACCTCGGCTAGTATTTTTGACTATTCTTTGTACGTTAAATCCGGCCATTCTAAGGACCGGTAATACGTTACTTATTTGTCATCCGTGCTGTACAGTTCTACGTGCTGGATCAAACAGTAATCCTGACATTACGACATGGCCATAGATCCTGTAGAACTGTGCCAGCACATAGCTGCTTGCGAGAGGATATTAGAGGAGAATGATCACCGCATGGATCAATTCACTCAGGCTTTAAGTATGCTTCTCGCTAGAACGGAGCATCTGCAGCCTGCAGCGTCTCCTCCTATAGCACCTCTACCCTGTGTACCTCCACCCACTGTTAATAGGACTCCTAGCATCTCCTTATCACCATCCCTACAGTTTGATGGCAATATCCAGGAATGCAGGGGTTTTCTTAATCAGGTGGAGTACCATTTTGAGGCCTCACCAGGGTCATTCCCCACGGACAGAGCAAGAATTGGTTATCTAATGAATCAATTAAAGGGCAAGGCCCTTGCCTGGGCTAATCCGTTGTGGGAGAGTAATCGGAGCATAGCTCATAATTACCAGGAATTCCTTGCCGAATTCAAGCTCACGTTTGAGCCATTGGGTAGAGAGGATGACGCCTCCACTGCCCTAATGCACATCAGACAAGGTAACCGGTCTATCTCGGATTATGCTATTGAATTCCGTACCTTAGCTTCCGAGGTAGACTGGACTAACAATGGGTTAATCTCAGCATTCAAAAAGGGTCTCTCAGAGACTATACTAGATGAGATAGCCGCTAAAGAATTACCTAAAAGTCTTAACGAATTTATTACGTTTGTCATGCATATTGATAATAGGTTAAGACTCAGAGAAGTCACCAGAAGCAAGACCAGACGTATGGCTATGTCCCTAGCACCTCAATTCTCTAAACCTGTTTTGTCTAACCTCCCTGTACAGTCCGAACCCGAACCTATGCAGTTGGGGGTCACTAGACTGTCAGAGGCCGAAAAACAGTATAGGAGAAGGGAGGGGTTATGCCTATATTGCGGTAGAAAGGGACATATGATAACTAATTGTCCAGTGCGTCCGGAAAACTTCCGCACCTAAGAACCTTAAGGGGACAGATCTTAGGTGTGATGGAGTTGTCCTCTAACAAAAACAAAAGTAGATTCCTCCTTGAGGTATCTATTTCCCTTGATAACAAGAAGTTTTCTTGCAGTGCCCTAATGGACTCAGGTGCTGCTGGAAATTTTATTGATGTCCAGTTTATTAGGGGTAATGAGATACCGGTCAGGGAGAGACCTACGCCGCTAGCTGTAGAGGCTATTGATGGTAGACCACTCACACAACCGCTTATAACCCACGAAACTGTCCCTATTACGATCTCCATTGGGGCCTCCCATAGGGAGGAGATGACGTTTCAGGTTATTACTTCTCCATCATGTCCTATCATATTAGGGTTTCCGTGGCTGAGTAAGCACAATCCCTATATTGACTGGGCTAATGGGGAGATATTAGAATGGGGTAAAGAGTGTATGGGGAGATGTATAAAACCAGTACTAAAGAGATTGGATACTATTGACCTTCCCACTACCACTCCCCAAACTCCTGGAGTTCCCATACAATACCGAGAACTTCAGGAGGTGTTTAACAAGGCTCAATCCGATGTATTGCCTCCCCACAGAGCATATGACTGTGCCATTAACCTGTTTCCAGGCGCTATGCCACCTAAGGGGGCAGTTTATGCCTTATCTCCCCAGGAGAGTAAAATAATGGAGGAATACATCAAAGAATCCTTGAGCAAAGGGCACATAAGAAAGTCATCCTCACCAGCTGGTGCAGGATTCTTTTTTGTTGAGAAAAAGGGTGGTGAGTTTTGCCCTTGCATAGACTACAGGGCACTTAATAAAATTACTGTAAAAAATGCATACCCTATTCCACTCATTTCCGAATTGTTCGATAGACTTCAGGGAGCTAAAGTATTTACTAAGCTTGACCTTAGGAGCGCTTACAATTTGGTTAGAATTAAAGAGAATCATGAGTGGAAGACAGCATTTAATACCCGTAGTGGACACTATGAATATCTGGTTATGCCATTTGGGTTATGCAACGCCCCAGCCGTATTCCAAGACTTTATAAATGATGTATTCAGGGAATTCATTTACTCATTTGTCTTGGTTTATTTGGACGATATTTTGGTGTATTCCCCTGATCTTCAAACTCACCACTCCCATGTGAAACAGGTTCTGCAGACATTGTTGAAAAATAAACTTTATTGTAAATTAGAAAAGTGCATATTTGACCAGCCTGAAGTCCACTTTTTGGGTTACAACATCTCTGCATCGGGATTTCAAATGGATCCTAAAAAACTAGAGGCTGTACTACACTGGCCATTACCCTCTGGTTTAAAAGCCATTCAAAGGTTTATTGGTTTTGCCAACTATTACAGAAGATTCATCAAGGGATTTTCTTCTGTAATAGCCCCAATCACAAATATGACTCGCAAAGGGGTTAGTAGCACGGTATGGTCCAAAGAGGCTGTGAATGCTTTTGAGACTCTTAAACAAAGATTTGCCTCTGCGGACATACTAAAACATCCTGACACCAGTAAACCTTTTATATTGGAGGTTGATGCATCCGAGACAGGGGTAGGGGCTGTTCTCTCTCAGAGAGAAAGCCAGGGAACACCATTGCATCCTTGTGGCTACTTCTCCAGAAAGATGTCTCCTGCTGAGCGCAACTATGATATTGGCAATAGAGAACTGTTGGCCATTATTCTTGCCCTCAAGGAGTGGCGACATCTTTTGGAGGGTTCCAAGGACCCCCTGTTGATCATAACTGACCACAAAAATCTGGCATATATAGGGGATGCCAAACGTTTGTCTTCCAGACAGGCTAGATGGTCACTGTTCCTTTCACGTTTTAACTTTCTCATTACTTATAGACCTGGTTCTAAAAATACCAAGGCTGATGCCTTGTCCAGGCAATTTGATAATGAGTCAGCTCCGGAACAGATGACATCTCCTATTATTCCACCAGAGTGTATTATTGCCACTACTGTCCTCTCACTGTCTTCTCCACTGCTTGGCACCATACTTGAGGCCCAGCCTCAGGCGCCCAGTGGTAAACCGTGTGATAAACTGTTCGTTCCCCTATGTGAAAGGGTTAATATCATGAAAGTGTTCCATGACAATATAACTGCTGGACACCCAGGCATCAATAAGTCCACTGCCGCGATCACTAGATCATTTTGGTGGGATTCACTCAGGAAAGATGTAAAGGAGTATGTGCAGGCATGTTCTGTGTGTGCAGTTTCTAAGGTGACTCATGCACTTCCTTGTGGCCTGTTGCAGCCTCTTCCTGTTCCTGAGATTCCATGGTCCCACCTATCCATGGACTTTATTGTTGAGCTTCCTAGCTCTGCTGGGTTCACTACTATTCTCATGGTTGTAGACCAATTTTCTAAGATGGCTCACTTCATTCCTCTCAAGAAGTTGCCATCTTCGCAAGATTTGGTCCTAATTTTCATATGTGAAATTGTCCGTTTGCATGGCATCCCCCACAATATTGTGTCTGATAGGGGCTCTCAGTTTGTGTCCAGGTTCTGGAGGGCGTTCAGTAAACAATTGGGGATTGATCTCTCCTTCTCCTCCTCCTACCATCCACAGACCAATGGTACAGCTGAGAGGGCTAACCAGTCATTAGAAGTTTATTTGCGTTGTTTTATTAATAGCACACAAGACAATTGGTCCGAACTACTCCCGTGGGCCGAGTTCGCTAGAAACAATGCTGTTCATGACTCCTCTGGGCACAGTCCATTTTTTGTCAATAATGGTAGGCATCCTACGGTTCTCCCTGCGGTATTTTCTGATACTGCCATTCCTGCTCTGGATGAGCGTCTGGCCTCCATTCGGGATACCTGGGTTAAGGTTCAAACTGCTCTAGGGGCTGCTGCTGAACGCTTCAAACATTTTGCTGATAAGCGTAGGAGTGCCAACCCGGTGTACCAAGTGGGGGACCGGGTTTGGTTGTCATCTCGCAACATCAAGCTTAAGGTCCCTAGCATGAAGTTTGCCCCCAGATTCCTTGGTCCCTATAGAGTGCTTCGTAGGATCAATCCAGTGTCTTACTCTCTGGCTCTTCCTGCATCTTTAGGGATTCCCAACACTTTTCATGTGTCCTTACTCAAACCTCTTGTCTGCAATAGATATACTGTTCCTTGTGTACCTCCCCCTCCGGTGGTGGTGGGTGGTCAGGAAGAGTATGAGGTATCTTCTATCGTGGATTCTAGCCTGGTCCTGTCCGCCCGGTGGGCGTTCTTCAGGTGGGGGGTAATGTCACATATTCATCCGCATATAGAAATGTGGTTAATGACATTTACTGTCCACACAGGAAAAGTTGTGCCGAGCAGCAACCTAATCCACAGAAGGGTTAATGCTGAGCAGCAATTATGCAAATGAAACCTGGTAACTGACTTTGGGGTCAAAGGCCGGTTACAGCCTATCAGAACTAAAGGAGGGGTATTTAGGCCCAGTTCTCAGCCTGCTCAGTGCCCTGTCGTGGTTTCCCTTGTGGTTGTCCGAGAGCGCGTTCCTGTTTATAGTTTTCTACCTGGTTTTTGACTTTGGCTTTGTTTATTGACTTCTCTATATTCTGGTATCCTGACTCCTGGCTTTCCTCATCGCTGTGTCCCTTTCTGTGTTCCCTGACCTCGGCTAGTATTTTTGACTATTCTTTGTACGTTAAATCCGGCCATTCTAAGACCGGTAATACGTTACTTATTTGTCATCCGTGCTGTACAGTTCTACGTGCTGGATCAAACAGTAATCCTGACAGTGTCCTCTAGTGGCTGTTAGTAGACAGCCACTAGAGGAGGACTTAACCCTTCAAGGTAAATATTGCAGTTTATGAAAACTGCAATAATTACACTTGCAGGGTTAAGGGTAGTGGGAGTTGGCAACCAGACCACTCCAATGGGCAGAAGTGGTCTGGGTGCCTGGAGTGTCCCTTTAAGGCTGTGTGTGTGGATAGTAGCTGCAGTGTCTGCATGTGGGGATATGGGCTCTAGTAGGTGCACGGGGGCATAGGGACTGTAGTAGGTACATGGGGAGATAGTGGCTGTAGAGAATGGAAGAGTGATAGGTGGTATACTGGGTACAGGAAGGTATAGGGGCTGTAGTGGGTCCAGTGAGGGCTGTGATGGGTGTAGGGATGGATAGGGGTTGAGGTAGGTGAATGGGGCATTGGGGCTGAGGTGGGTGATGGGTGCTGAGGTGGGCATGGGGTCAAGGTGGGTGCTAAGGGAGATGGGTGCTGAGATGGAGCGGGACATGGGGCTGAGGTGGGTGCTGAGGTGGAGGGAGATGGGTGCTGAGGTGGATGGGGGCATGGGAGATGAAGTGGGTGCTGGGTGAGAGGGGAGCTGAGGTGAGTGAAGGTGGAGGAGGATGGGTGCTGAGGTGGAGGGGGCATGGGAGATGAGATGGGTGCTAAGGTTGATCAGGGCTGAGGTGAGTGAAGCAGGAGATGGGTGCTGAAGTGAGTGGAGGGGGGCATGGGGCTAAGGGAGGTGGGTGCTGAGTTGGAGAGAGGCATAGGGCTGAAGTGGGTGCTGAGGTGGGTGGAGGGGGCATGGGAGATGAAGTGGGTGCTGAGGTGGAGGGGGCATTGGAGATGAAGTGGGTGCTGAGGTGGGTGGAGGGGGGCATGGCAGATGAAGTGGGCACTGATGTGAGTTAAGGGGGAGATGGGTGCTTAGGTGGGTGCTGAGGTGGAGAGGGCATGGGAGATGAAGTGGGTGCTGAGGTGGGTGGAGGGGGCATGGGGCTGAGGTGGAGGGGGCATGGAAGATGAAGTGGGTGATGAGGTGGGTGGAGGGGGAGATGGGAGATGGGAGATTTACATACCTGCTGACTGTGCCAGGCTGCTCACTCAGTATATTCTGCAGCAGGAGAGGAGGAGGCAGGAAGTGATGTCACTTTCCCTCTCCTTGGCCACGCCTCCTCCCCTCACACGGAGCTCCGCACAGAGAGGATGGAGGAGACCCGGCAAGAGCTGGATTGCTGCCAGGTCTCATGAGGTTAGGGGGAACACATATCCTGTTAAATTGTGTCTCTCCGGCTGGGGAGAGCTCTGAACTCTCCAGCCAGAGAGAGTATGACTGCTCAGGAAGCCGGGCCCCTGACTGCCTCAGGCCCTCGGTCCATGACCGATCTGCCCGAGTGGTCAGTCCGCCCCTGCCTCACCTCATTGTGACTGACACAGCCTGTGTTCTATCAGAAATCTATATCTATCAGATTTCTATACCTACGTCACTTCCGAAGTACCTACGTCACCGGAAGGGACGCAAGATCAGCTGCGCACATGCGTGCTACCAGGCCTCGGGGTATAGAATTCTGATAGAATTCTGGTGGAGGAGCCACACGCAGGCCGCCGCCTCCGATGATGCTCGATAAGCTGGGTATTTACCCATAGAAATCTGATGGGTGCACTGCGCATGCGTGCGGCACACCCTTCAGATATAGAAATCTAATGGGTGTACTGCGCATGCGCGCAGCACCTCCATCAGATATAGCAATCTGATATACAAATCTGACGGCTGTACTGCGCATGAGTGCAGTACATCTATTAGATTTCTATACCACAGTTTTCACTGTGTAGTAACATACACATTGTAGGCTAATGTGGTGTTAAAAAATGGAGATGCAGGTGTAGCGGATGGCTTGTGACTGTCCGCCAGAATTATATTTTAAAAGACTGTTCGCATGTTTAAACTGCCTGTACATTGAAAATTGCATATACATTCGTATGTTAGTTCGGTAGTTTCCTTCATAGTTTATACGAATGGAAACTACCGAATGCATAGACCACCTTAGAGAAGAAGTGTGTCCCTAGTTAAACTCTTATTCCCTCTCTAACCGCAGTTAATTGATGTTGTATTGCTGTATCAGAGTGGCCGCCATTCGGTAGACGAACACGCGGCGGCGGCCATCTTACGCACGAACACTCAGCGGTGTTTGGTCGTCGAGTGTCTGGAACTCAAATCGGACACTCAATTGCGTGAACACCGCTGAGACCTCCAGAGCTCCAGAACTCACGAACGGAGAGGCTATTCGACTCCTTGTTCGGTGAGTTCAATATACCAAACAAGGGGGTTCGTGCGAACCCGGTATTGTCTATGGATGGCAAGGATTTCTACCTGTTTTACGTCCTGAACGCAGACCGACCGCAGGGCCAAAATACATGGAACTCCTTTCGGCTACATAGTCGTGTGCGGTTGGTCAAATCATTTATTCCCTATAACTCCCGAACCCCTGGTCTGATCTGGGTGAATTTTGAGTATGTTGGCCACCCAGACCAGGGCTACCAGGGAATGCCACTTAAGTCCTGGTACCCCACGGTTTTGGGGTACATCCAAGAAACAGGGGAAAAGGTACCAGAATTAAGTGGATTAAGTGTTACACTGAGGGGAGGGAAAGTAGGGGAGGGAACGTCTGTAATGTTGGTTACTGCTATAATTACTGTAAATCCCTCCCTTGCATGGGAGAATCCTTTATAAGGAACTGCTGTGAATAAATCTTTAGTTCTGCTCCTGATGCTGTGTCGTCCAGTCATTGGGATTGCGATTGGGATATTGTTGGAGTCTTTTTTCCTGCTGGGATTATTACTCTGTGGATTTATTATACTTGTTCCTAAACCTTACTGGGATCCAAAGTGGAGATAGGCTGTGTAATACCAGCTCTCCGCTACATTGGTGGCAGCGGTGGGATCCAGACTCACAAAGGAACAAGGGCTAATGGATTACGGATGGAGAGTGATTATGCTAAGCTGAAAAGATCCACGCTAAAAGATCTCCTGGAAGCAAAAGGTATTGCAGCACGCAAAAAAAGAAAAGCAACCCTTATTGCAGAGGTGATGGCGGAATATCAAAACGAGGACAGGGCAATCCCTGAACAGCAGAGTTCAGCAGATGGATCTGAACAAGAAGAGTTTCAAAGGCAGCTGCAGTGTAGGCTGTCCTTTTATGGACAGAACTCAATGGCGGATATTATATCCAGGACAATGACCGAGGTGCAGGAGTTCATACTACGCCAGAGACCACTACAAAATGCAGAGAGGAATACAACCACAACTACCATCACACAGGGTAAGACAAAAATACTTTACCAAGCGTTTAAAACATATGTAGAGGCAGAGGAAGACATAGATGCATTCCTCCAAGATTTTGAGAGACTGTGTGCACTGCCTAATATTAGTCCAGAAGAGTGGGTACCTATTCTGGCAGGTAGGCTCACTGGGAAGGCCGTTGAGGCGTACAGAACTGTACCAGACGAGGAGATTAGGAACTACCACAGGGTAAAGGAGGTGATCCTGGCCCGATATGCCATCACTCCAGAGGCATACCGGAGGCGATTTAGAGAGTTGAAAAGAAATGACAAGGACTCTCATGTGGAATGGGTGTGCAAGTTACACCAGGCCGCTCTTGGTTGGGTACAGGCAAATAAAGCTCGGTCCATGGAGGATTTGTTACAATTCTATGAACAATTCTATGAGGGCATCCAGAATGAGGTACAGGAATGGGTGAGAGATCGCAATCCAACCTCCCTCAGAGAGGCAGCTAAAAAGGCGGATGAATACTTAGATGCCCACAGACAACAAAAAACGACCCCCATCAAGACAGTAATCCGACCCGTAGGGGAGAACAACCCATACCCCAATACCACAACGCCCCCGCGACAACTACCTCCTTACCCACCCGCTAACATACAACAGAAGTTCCGGCCCACTAGCTCTGTGCAGTGCCACCATTGCCAACGATGGGGATCCCCAGAGTGCCCCCAGCTAAAAGATCGTTCTACTTGGATCCGGCCCGGCCTACCTCCGCCACCTCGAGCGGCGGCTCACTGCTACCAAGCAGAGACAGCAAACCCCTATGGCACAGCAATTCCCATAACCACGGTGGAACAATGGGAAGTGTTACATGAAGCGGATCCAGTACAAGCAAATGCAGACAACCGCCAACATCATAGACAGACGGTATACTTAGAGGGGAAAGCAGTCCAGGGTCTTCGCGACTCTGGGGCCACCATCACCCTGGTCAAAAGTCACTTGGTACCTGACCAGGCCAAGACCAGCAGAACAGTGGCCGTCAGGGTAGCCGGGGGAGCAGTATACTGGCTACCCACCACCAGGGTACATTTGCATTGGGGAGCGGGGTTTGGGAATGTGGAATGGTGATGCCCCAATTGCTGGTGGAAGTTTTGTTGGGGAATGATCTGGGCAAACTTACTTCCGCTTTTGAGCCCCAGGCTCCAACAACCGGAGAGGCATGACAACAGGCCCGCACCCAGGACTACAACACACTCCCGGAGGTCCAGGTAAGAGATCCTTCCCCTACCTTAGAGTGTATTCCCTGGGCTTCCCCTACCGAATTTGCAGCCTAAGTAGTCACTGACCCCACATTACAGGTCTATAGAGACAAAGTCACCTCAGACCCACCTGGGGGGGAGGGGGAAAGATTTGTATTAGATAACCAGTTGCTGTATAGGGAGTTTGACAAACAGGTAGCTGGGTCAGATCCTATTGTTATGAGGCAGCTAGTGGTACTACAACGGTACTGAGCAGAATTACTCCGGATAGCGCATGATATTGCGCTATCCGGACATTTGGGGGCCAGTCGCACCCGGCACAGACTGACCCAGAGTTTCTTTTGGCCGGGAGTCAGCCAGGAGGTCCGCAGATATTGTAATACGTGTGACATGTGTCAACGAGAGGGGACCAGCGGAAGGCAAAACTGCACCCGCTACCCATAATCGAAAAACCGTTCAGTAGAGTAGCAGTAGATTTAATAGGCCCCCTACAGAGACCCAGCCCCTCTGGGAAAAAGTATATTTTAACTGTAGTGGATTATGCCACCAGATATCCAGAGGCGATTGCGCTGACTAATATACATGCGGAGACCGTGGCAGAGGCCCTGATGCAGATTTTCTCCCGGATGGGGTTACACAGGGAGATCATCTCGGATCAGGGCACACAGTTTACTGCAGAAGTCACCCAAAGCCTCTGGAAATTTTGTGACATCAAACCAATAATTAGCGCACCCTTTCATCCCCAGACCAATGGGCTATGTGAACGGTTCAATGGGACATTAAAAAAATGCTCCGAACCTTCGCAGACACCCATAGGGACTGGGAGCGATTCCTGCCCCATCTCCTGTTTGCATACAGGGAGGTGCCGCAGGAGTCGACTGGGTTCTCCCCATTCTAATTACTGTTCGGACGAAGAGTAAGGGGCCCCCTGGACCTGACTAGGGAACACTGGGAGGGAGACCGGTGCGCAGATGGTACCCCCATCATACCCTATGTGCTGGCATTTCGAGACCGTCTGGAAGCTTTAACAAAATCTGTACGGGAGAACCTACAGGCCGCTCAGACGCGCCAGCGCACGTGGTATGATAGGGGCGCCAGGGACCGTAGCTTTCAGGTTGGGCAGAAGACTCTAGTTTTGAAACCTGTCCGACATGATAAGCTACAGGCCTCCTGGCAAGGCCCTTATAAGGTGATGGAGCAAAGATGCGACACCACGTATATAATTGGCACATGCACAGGAACTGGAGGGCGACACATGATCCATGTGAACATGATGAAGCCCTACAGGGAACGTTCAGAGGAGGTAACAGCCATTTGTGCCCCCTCTGAAGAGTTCAACAACCTGCCGCTCCCCGATTTACTGGGGGATGGTGGGCTGTCTGGGGATTTGGGGGAAGTTACTCTGGGGAATCGGCAGAACCCACAGGAGCGCACCGAAGTACAACAGTTATTAAGGGAGAAACAGGACACATTCTCCAATGTACCTGGGTA